TTTTGAGACAGAGTCTCACTCTGTTGCCTGGGCTAGAGTGCCGTGGCATCAGCCTAGCTCACAACAACCAGCAACCTCAAACTCCTGGGCTCAAGTGATCCTCCTGCCTCAGCCTCCCGAGTAGCTGGGACTACAGGCATGCGCCACCGTGCCCGGATAATTTTTTCTATGTATTTTTTTAGTTGTCCAGCTAATTTCTTTCTATTTTTTTTTAGTAGAGATGGGGTCTCACTCTTGCTCAGGCTGGTCTTGAACTCCTGACCTGGAGTGATCCTCCTGCCTTGGCCTCCCAGAGTGCTAGGATTACAGGTGTGAGCCACTGCATCCAGCCTCAAGCAGGCCTTGCCTCAGAGCACGCTGCTCCTGCCTGGAGCTCTGGCCCTGACGTCCACACGGCTCCCTTACCTCTCCGCTCATAGTCACCTCAGGGAGGCCAAATCCCTCTGCACATACCTCTTGGCCTCTGAGCCCTGCTTTATGGTTTCTCTTAAGCTTTCAGCACCATCAAACATGCTACAGATGTACTTCATTATCTCATTTATTGTCTCTCTCCCACTTCAGTGGCACCTCCACCAGAGCCAGGACTGTCCCCAGCACCAGTAGCAGGGCCTGGCACATAGAGGGCATTGATGGCCCTCCCAGCCTCACAGGATCTCGCAAGGACCAAATGAAACAATCAGCAATAGGCCATCAACACTGTCTCCTGTGCTCTACACAGGCTTCTGCTCTCGGCTCAAGACACCTCCTCAGGGAAGCCCTCCCTCCAGAGCCCCAGCCCAGTCTGCTCCCTTGGCACATACTCCAGCTGTAATTGGACAATTCTGTGCAATTGATTGTCTCCTTGGTCTCCCCTTTGCTAGAATGTAAACTGCTTGAGGACAGCTCTACCTCAATCCCAGCTATGTTCCCAGGGCCTGGAACACTGGCCAGGGCAGCGAGGCACAGGTGTGTGAAGCACCAAGGGCTCTGGCTACCACTTACCAACTTTATGACCTTGGGCAAGTCCCATAACTAACCTCTTGGATTCTCAGTGTTCCCAGCAGTAAAACTGGGATGATAGAAAAAAATCATATCCACAAAGGCAGGTTGTGAGAATTAAGGGGATAATATGGGCAAAATGTTTAGCATGGTTCACGGCATTTAAATGCTCAATAAACATTTACTATTTACAGCTAACACTCAATAAATATTTGTCAACAATCAACATACACGGGTTCCAAGGTGGGTAGGAGACACCTGCACCTGGACCTGCTGGCTCACTGGTCTTCAGAGCCAGAAGGGAACACAGGGTTTTTAGACCAGTGGGTTTCGGCCAAGTCAAAACTTGCTGGAATGGCACAATCAGTCGTGAGGCATCTGTCCGAAGTTCAGTTATTAGCAATTAGCAGAGGCAGCAGTCTGGTGTTTAAGAGCTCAGCTCTGGATCTAAACTGACCCAAGTTCAAATCCTGGTTCTGCCATTTTCTACCTGTGAGATTTGAACAAAGTTTCAAAAACCTTTCTGAGCCTCAGTTACGATAATACAGATGACAACTTATAGGGTTGCTGTGGGGGAGCTAAGAACATAAAAGGGCACAAGGTACATACTCAAGAAAAAAATTTTTAAATTATATGTTATAGCCCCAAAGTAGCTGATGTTTACATAAAAACATAAATAACAGGCCCATCCCAAGTAACACTTATATGAGTATCTTCATCACTCCCTTGAACTTTGATACATTTTCCTGAGGAAAAAAATTGGTGATTGTTAAGAGCAGAGATGGGTGCTAAAATTTGAGGTACCCCTCTCAGATACCCACAAAAAGCTGCCTTGTGTTGGTGCAGCTTTGGGAAAATTGAGAAAAAGGGGTCGTGGCCTATGCTGGGGGAGGTAAGCAACTGCCAGAAGCAAGAACAAAGTTTAGGAACAGGCAGACGTTGACTTGGAATTTTTCAGAGCCACTTGTAGAAGGTGCTAGGCCTGCAGTACCCAGAAACCCAGGTGGCATCCTGAGTCCGCTCTCACATCCCACTCCAATCCACCAACACATCCTGGTGGTTTTATCTAACTTTTAAGGAACAGAGTGTTTCTAGAAGGTAGAAGGGCCTGGGAACACCAGACTGCCAACCTCAAGCAGTGCCACAGCAGTCCGGGAGCCTACTGGCCCTCAGCAGTGTACCCGTTGGGTGGTTCCAGGCCCAGAGGGCACAGGGCAAAGGCAAAAGGGCACAGGAGTAGGGTGGGGGCTCACCCTGGATGGTCCTCTTGAAGAAGGCTTTGCAGGCCTCACAGGATGCCACACCATAGTGGTAGCCGGAGGCCACATCCCCACAGACCAGGCAGAGGCGTTTGGGCAGGGAGCTGAGCACCAGCTTCCCACCACCCTGCTCGCCAGGCCCAGCCCCTTCCCCATCCTCCTCCTCCTTGTGGCCTGGGTGGCAGCGAGTAGGAGCTGGACCAGGCGCCAGTGCCACGGATGGCTCAGTCTCTGTCTCCGAGGAACCCTTTGGACTGTCGGGGCTGGCTGGCTCTGCTTTGATGTAAAGAGGCTCAATGCCCACCACCTGGCTGGACATGGCGCTGGTCACCTGCAGGGAGAGACCCGTTAGTTTGCAGGAAGGCACCAGGATGGGGGATGGGGAGACACCCTGCCACTTGGGTTGCCCAACCCTGGGCCTAGGGCCAGGCTTCCAGACTCAGCAAGGGGGTGGAATGGGGGACAGAGTCCAAGGAAAGGCTGCCCATGAAGAGGGCCCTCCCAGCTGTTGCCATGGGAACAGAGTCTCCAGAGCCTCCAAGGCCAGTAACTGACAGCAGGTCTCCCACTTGGGAACCTAGGGAGGCTTGGAAAGCCCCTACTTCCACCCAGGCCAGGGAACAGGGGAACCTTAGCACCCAGGCAACCTTCAACCCCACCTGGAATGCCCAGCCAGAGCAGAATACCTCCCAATCTTCTCCAGATGTTGGGGGGGAACCTTAGTAATCTCCCTCATCTGGGTATTCTCCATTCAAGAGAGCACACTGAGGCACACAGACCCAAGGGCAGCTGATGTCCTCACACGTATGTTCACATACTCCCACTCACCTGGGTGCTCAGGTGTCCCCACGTGTCCATACATGCTCGGGACTTTCGCACTTACACACGGCCTTTCTGAAACCCCAGTCCTCACTCCCGCTCACACTTGTCCCCTCACACACTCCTCCTGAAGCGCACATCCCATAAACAAACTCACACTCAAGGCTCATAATCACACACTCACTCAAACTCTCACTCTCACCAAGTCCCATGTTCACACACACAGGCACAGACTGGTGAAAACACCTTCAGAGCTTTTCACACCTGACACACCGCCCCCCTCCTGCCCCAGCATGCCCAATCCCAGCCGCACCGGCGGGCGCAGCTCCACCTCCTGGCACCCCTGCCTGCACGGTCACTCTTGCACTCCGGCTGCCGCAGAGTCCTCCACCTCCCGGGGCGCCCCGCCCCCCAACCTGCGCACACCTATGGGAAGTTGCCTAAAGTTGCTACGCCCACCCCACCCCACCCCCGCCAAGTCCCCGGCCCGCGGGGAACCTCTATCAGGTTATCAGGAAGTAAATGGGGAGAACCAAGGAGGAGGAAGTTCTCCCCTGCCGGTGCGATGACCTTTGACCCAGAGAGGAGGGTGGCCCAAGGCCCCTTCGAGCGCCCCCATGTGGTCTTCAAAGCCCCTTCCCCGACAGAGAACCCTCCCCATCTCCCACCCCGGCCCGCCCCTGGGACTTCGGCGCGCTCTCAGTGCCGGATTGAACCCTCCTACCCCAGGGCTCGACCCCAGGCCCAAGCCCGACCCAGGCCAGGACCTGCAGCCGAAGCCAGACCCTGACCCAGGCCGGCCCACCAGGACCTGGACGCCGATCCCGCCTGGACCCTGACCCCGTCTGGCCCTCGACCGGGTCCCGACCGTGACCCGGACAAGCCCCAGAGCTGGACCCCGCCTGGAGCCCGCCCTTCGCCCGCCTCCCTGCCGAGCTCGCACATGGCCCCCGCAGCGGCGCTCCCCTCCGCCCCCAGACCTGGGGCTCCGGCAGGGCGGGCGGGCAGGCATGAGGGCCGAGTGGCCCGGAGTGCCGGGGTGAGCTGGGGTCCCCGGGCGGCCCCTCCTCCGCCGCCTCCTCGGGCCGCGCCGCCCCACCGCGCCGCGTCCCCTCACTCGGCGGCGCCGCTGGCTGCTTGTAGGACACAAAAGGACATCGCGGCCGCTTCCTACTCCGCTTCCTCCAGCTGACAGCGGGGGCGGGACCGGCGGTGCGCATGCAAAGCAGGGGGCGGGGCCCGGGCCCTATGCTAATCAGACAAGTGGGCGGGCGGCGCCTGCGTGCCCGGAGGGGTAGGGGCGGAGTCGGCAACACCAGTGGGCGGGCCTTCACGAAGGTCCCGCCCCACAGCCGCGGAGCTTACTTCGTGCACATGCGTACGCAGCCGCTGAGAGGGCGGAGCCAGAGGGGGGGCGCCGGGAATTAGAGCGGGAGTTGGGGGGAGGGTCAGAAGCGCTCTTTCGTAACGTAAGAGGTGGGGTGCGCTGCGCGAAAAGAGTGGGCGAGGTCGCTCAGTGGCAGCAGCTGGGGAGCAGGGAGACTACATACATATGAAAATGAAGAGGGCGGGACAGGCGGAGAGGCTGGAATATCCTCCTAAACTTGAGGGGCGGAGCCTAGCATGTCCTCGCACGGGGGGAGGCGTTCCCCCCCTTTCTGTCTTCCCCTTCCCCCAAGGTAACACCAACGCCGCGCTTGAGCCGTAGACCCAATGTTCTCACTAGCCTGCGGAGCCCGAGGTGGGAGAAGCAGACCTAAAACATTCAAGAAGCTCTGGATTGCAAGTCTCTGGAAGGTAGGGCCTATAGGCCCGGACGGAGAAAGCTCAAGGTCACTGCGGTGACCGAATGAAGGTCACGGGAAAGGGCGGGGCCACGTGCGTCCGCCTCATGCGGGTTGCCTTGCACTGACTCACGGATTTTGCACAGACTCTTTTATTTATCTAGGGCTCAAATTCCACGCGGACAGGGTCGGGCTTGGGTCTGGGGGCCGGGCAGGGCATGGCGCTGGAGTCGGGCTGCTGCTCGAGCCAGGAGGTGGTGTTCTTAGTTTCTGATGTTCTGTCCTGTGTCCTGGCGCTTCTTGATCCCATCGATGTATCGCTGCAGCTCCTTGGTGAGGAAGTGTTCCTTGCCGATTCCTGACCGGTAGCCTAGGAGAAGGGCCAAGCTCAGCTCAGGGCAGTGGGCATCCACAAGGCCTCCCCAACAGCGGGGGCCACATGTGTGATTTGAGGACTGCAGGTGATCTGGGGTGGCAGCAGCGCAGGGTGCTCGGATCTGTATTAGTTTGGGGAACTTTGGTCTCTAAGGTGCTGGGTATTAAGGTGGAGGGTGGATGAGGGCAAGGTTAGAGAAGATGTTGCAGGCAGTGGTAGGGAGCAGTTTTTGGACACCTTCTGGACCACCCACTCTAAGCCATCAGCTGGCCCTTTCTCCCAGCTGGACCTTCATACCATAAGCAGAAGTCTGCCCAAATAATCCACTGTCCAAAGGCTCCTCACAGCTCTCCCACCCACCAAGAGGGAACCAAGGCCATACTAAGACTGTCATTCCATTGGGCACATGGAGAAACAGCCTCAGAAAAGCCCCATCAGCTAGAAAGGGGCTGCACTAAAGCTAAGGCTAGATCCCAGGCCTCTGACAGTTACCCAATGCCCTCCCCACTGGGTTTTCCTGTGTGGATCCCTCAACTTTTAACTTTTATGGGGCCCTTGGAATACTTGTGGGTACTAGGGGGGTCTGATAAGACATACACATCCTGAAACCCCAACCCCACAGGCTCAAGCCCTGCAAAATCCACCAGGATCTCTTGTGGAAGGTTGGCAAGGAACTCACTCCGCAGGGCTTTGTTGAGGATTTCCAGAGCTTCATTCTTCATGAGCTCCTTCAGGGGCAGCGGCAGCTAGAGAAACAGCAAGAGGCTCAACCGATCCCATCTCTGCCCACAGCTGACATGCCCCACCTACTCTCTGCAGCCCCAAGGCCCCCCACCAGCCTACCTGCCCCTCCACCCTGCAATTCACTCCATCCTTTCACTCTTTGCAATCCCCAGCTTGCCTATCCCCTACCCCACGAAAAACCCCAGTCTCCCTGGGCCCTTCCAACCCTGTTATGCTGCTCTGCCCAGTAGGCTAGATGGGCTGCGTGCACGGAGCCTTCCACCGATGACATTGAGGAAGGTTTTTCTGAGAGAAGAGAAAAGAGGTCAGTCATCTGCAAACTCCTGCATCTTCCCTGGAATAGAGGAGATAGTAGGCACTCAGTAGGAGGGAGTGGCCCTCAGAGACCAATTCCAGGTGCTATCTTGGTTAGAGTCAGCATGGGACACCACTGGTTACAACCAGGGGCTTTAGAGTCCCATCCACCTGGGTTCAGTCTGACTCCCCACTGTACGAGACTGAGCACCAGTGACTGAAACTTTCCAGCCCCCAAGTTCTTCATCAGTAAAACGGAGGGTGTGAAGTTTAAAGGTGATACGCAAGGGTAGCCCCATGCCTGGCACGTAGCAAGCGCTTAATGCCAGGAGATTGTTAGATTGTTATGGGTTCCATTCCCCATGAAGGGGGGAAGGGGGGAGCAAGTGCCAAACAACGCCCTGCATGTAAGAAGGGCTTAAAAATTGTAACCAATGACTAAATGAAGGACAGACACCCCCTCAACCAAGAGGAATCCTCAGGCAAAGAATTAACACCCTCCCGTCAGCTAGCGGGATGATTCCATTACTGGCTGCCTTTGCGCACTTACTTTAGTGCGTGCTTACTCGGCGTGCCACGGCCGGAAGGCCTGCTATGACGCCTTCCCGGTAGGGGGCGCGCCAAGAATGCCTGGTCGATTCAAAACGCGGAAGATTCGCGCTGGTGCTGGTCCCTGGGAGTCCTAGAAACTTGGATCCTATCAGCTTCCCCCATTTTACAGCAACGGAAATTGGGGCCCTGGCCAGCCCCCGCCCTGTGAACGTCCACGGCCTGGCGAGGCCACACTAACCGGCCTTGATATTGGAATCGTCTCCCTTCTCCCCTACGCGGGGCTCCGTGGAGCTGCCTTGGTGCGGTTCCTGCTCCAGCAAGGTTTGCTCGTCCAGTTCCTCTGGGTAGCTGTTGCCCTCGTCCTCTTCATCATCCTCCCAGCCGCCATGATGTGTGTACCACTGAGTTCTGTCTACACAGATACCCTCTTCGTCGAAGTTCTCGCAGACCTTGGACAGCGGCAGGTTCAGCTGTGACTCCGACAGTGTGGCCGTGGTCCACAGATCCCGAATGTCGTTCGCCTTGCCTGAGCCAGGGTGGTCCGAAGACTCGGGCAACACCTGTGGGCCACATACAACGAGGGAAGCCAGGGGTCGCGGGGAGCTGAGGCGGGAAGAAAGAACAGGTTGGGGGCGGGTGTCCTGAGCCAGGTCGGGGTGGGGAGTCTGTCGAGCGTGGGGATTGGTGGGAGCCGCGGGAAGCCAAGCTTGGCTCAGTGAGAAGTTACACCAATGGCCCAGGTCGAACCTAGGATGAGTCTGCGGGCTCACCGTAAGGGGACCTGGGAAGAGTTCTTACTTTGCTAGGCTTTTCCTCCATAGTTCTGCCCCCAACGGACCCAGTCGCCACGGGCCTCGGGGCTAGGAGTTGGGGGAGGGGCGGTCAACGCTCCAGGAAGGGGGGGAGGGGCAGGATCTCCCGAGTGGAGATGCGGCTCTCGCGCCGGGGCAGAGTTCAAACTACAGCGCTCCACACCAGATGATACTCTCTCTCCCCTATCCCTCTCTCCCTCCACCCTTCTCCCCAATATCTGCTGAGGTTGGAGACACACAGCCCATCTTGGATGATTCTGAAGCCAGACCCTCCCTACACAGTCGCCTCCAGGCAGAGAGGCGGGCCTGAGTACCGCGGAGAAGGCCTCGACTCCCTCGGCCTGGGGGTTGGGGAAGGCCCGACGTGCCCCCGCGGTGGCCCGAGGAAAGCACTCCAACACCCACTCGCGCTCACGCCCGCGGCGGTGCAGACTGTTTTCGTTTATTAATGCAGGCTTTGAGGCACAGTCGTGAGGTGTTGTGAGGGACAGGCCTGGCCAGGGCGGTGAGACAGAAAGCCTTGGGGGTCTGGAAATGGATGGAAGTGAGGATGGGGGCGTAGGGAGTAGCAGAGTGGCAACCCGTAGCCTCCTCCCCAGGCTTCAATCACATCGACAGAGGGCTCTTTGGTCAAACAAGCCAAGCATGCCGGGGGAGGAACGAAGGAGAGGAGGAACGAAGCCCTTTGAGAGGCCCGGGCCGGGGATCCTGCCCCTACACGGGCACGCCTTTTTCTCGGGGACGCCCTGGGCCTCGGGGCCGCGCAGGCTTCCTGGCGGGGTTGGGGCGGCGGCGACCTGGCGGCGCACGGGGCAGCGCGCAGCTGCGCTCGCTCTGCGTGTCCGAGGACTCGTCGATGAAGGCCAGGTTCTCGCTGGGGTAATCCAGGGCCGAGGCCGTGGGCGGGGAAGGCGGCTCGACCTTCTCTGGGGGCGTGGGGGATCGAGGCCTGCCGACCGGCTGCGCGGGACAGGGCGGTGGAGGCAGGTGTGGCCGCTCCTTCTGTGGAGGCGGTGCGGTGGGCCCAGCTCGCTGGGTCACCCGCGCCGTCACTGTGCCGGTCCAGCTGGCAGCCTGCGCGGTGAGGCCGCCCATCTGCGCGGGGAAGAAAGGCAGCCCTCGACCAGGGGTCCTTGACCGACTCCGCAACCCCAGGAACCTGCCCCTTTACCAATTAGGCATCAACTCTCTTTTCCGTGGCTTCCAGCCTCAGCGGGCGGAGACGCAAGGGCTCCTCACCCCGGCGGCAGGCTCTCCCCCATCCGCACCAAAGCGCCCCTTTCTCCAGGGTCCTTTCTAGAAATACTTAGTTTTTATTTCAGCTCTCCCTCTGGTGCTCCAAGACCTTGCACCTTTATCCGGTTCCTCAACCGGGTGCTTCAAGTAGGGTGGCAAAGCACAGGTAGCTAGGTTAAGTGTGAATTTCAGATAAGCAACCAATAAAATTTTAGCATAAGTATGTCCCGAATTAAATGTGAATTTCGGATAAGCAAAGACTAAAATTTTAGTATAAGTATGTCCCTGAGAAAAAGAAGGTGTTGCTTATCTGAAATTCACATTTAACTGAGCTTTCTGCATTTTTATTTGCTGAATCTGGCAACCCTATCCATAACAGCAGAGGTGATGGAGTCACTCCCAACCTATCTGAGCTTACCACTCTGTTCCTGGTGGGGTACACAGAGGGGCTCAGTCCCTGCCTGGAGGAGCCCACATTCTGGAAGGGAGACAGACTGGTCAACCAGCTGCTAGGGTACAGCACATTAGTGCCACAGTGCACGCTGCACCAACTCAGGGGTGCATACCTGTGCCTGTGTGCGGCGGGACACTACTCGCAGCCAGTTCCCGATGGTGGTGAGCACGGAGGCGAAGTAGGCCAGGCCAAGCAGGATCCAGAACCACACCAGCGGCTGGTAGGCTGGATAGTCCTGCTTGGGGTCAGCGCCTGGGATACCGTGAAGGAAGGCGGAAAGAATTTGATTGTGGGGCAAGCCTGTGAGCTGCTGGCTAACTGCCCTTCTTCCCAGTTCATTGAGAGGACCTACCCTCCCCAGGTTCTAGAGTGTCCGAATGCATGCAGGAAGATAAGTGTGATGAGTTTAAGGTGTGCAAGATAAGAGCATGCAAAAGGGGGTGCTCACCTGCAAGAATGTGACACATGTAAGAGGTGCACTTATGTATGTGTGAGATGCAGGCATGCAAGAATGTAAGTGCATGAGGTGTTGCATTCGTGCAAGAGTGTAATGGTGCATTCCATGATAGCTGTAGGGGTTGGAGCGATCACATGTAAGTGCACAAAGGCCATGTGGAATTGGGAGGGAGAGGTGAGAGTGTGGACTCTCTGGAGAGGAATAAGGAAAGTAGATCGGGAAGTGCAGTGCAAGAAGGGCAGCCTCACCAGCCACATAGTCACCAAAGCCCACGGTAGTGAGCGTCACTATGACAAAGTAGATGGCCTCCAGCTTGCTCCATTCCTCCATATAGCAGAACACGAACGTGGGCGTGAGGACAAAGAGCAGGCAGCCAATCAGCAGGAAGAGCATCGCTGATAGCACTCGCACCAGCTCCGGTGGCACGTGCCACTTCTGCGGGGAGGAGCAGTAGGCAGGACCGAGGAGACACCAACAACTTCCACTCCCATACTCCCCACTCCCACCCCCAGGAGCCTGCGGGAGAGGCTTGTGCAGTGTAGGGGCGCGCGCTCACGTGCCAGGGACAGAGAGAAGGGTATCCGGAGCCCAGCACAAGGGCGTGCAGGGCATGGAGCAGCTCACCAAGAAGATGGCTTCGATGTGACCGATGCCACGGCGCAGGGAAGAGCCCAGCCGGTCCCCGACCCCTGCCAGCAGGATCCCAAACAGCGGGATCCCCACCAGTGCATAAAAGATGCAGAAGAGGCGCCCAGCATCTGTGCGCAGGGCCACATTGCCATAGCCTGGGCAGAGGAGTGATGCAGGAAGTCTAGGGGCCACCTGGCATCCCCTACCTCTCCCTGCACCTGCCCCCTTGAGAAAACTCCTTGCCCCTTACCCCCCTCCACATGCCCCATCCTCTCCCCCACCGATAGTGGTGATGATGGTCCCTGAGAAAAAGAAGGCGCTGCCCAGGTCCCAGGTTGAGAGGCTGCTGTTACTGGTCGAGTTGGTTTCTGGGTTCGCACCCCCTCCCAGGGCATCAGCCACCTCCTGCAGGACAAGGTGCAGAAGGAGGAACCTCAGTTCTTCCCTCCTGTCCTGGTCAGCTCCCTGCCCCTCCAGTCTCTAGGGTGGTCCCTTCCCTGCCCCTCTCAGCTCACCCCTCTCCTGTCTCCCAGAAGGCAGTCCCTTACAACAGAGGATGGAAATCAGGTGGACTAATCCACCTGTGGGCAAGTTTGTCTGATCTCCACAATGCTTTAGAAAGATTTGAGTTATCTGCCCCCTAATTTCAGACAAAGACCAGACTGCCTGGGTTGAAATTTTGGTGCTATGTGACCTTGGGCAAATTAATGCTCTGTGCCCTGGGTTCTACATCTATAAGGTGTGGATGATGGTAATAGCACCTACTGCATAGATTTGTTGTGAAGAGTTAAAGTACTTGCAACAAAGTAAGCACTGTGTGTCTGTTAAATAAGTTTTCACCCAGTGATCGTGCCCTGTGATTTCCACAGACTCTGCCACTCGCATTGCCGCTATGGAAGCTGAGTTTGAATCCTTTATCTTAGAAAATCTAATGAAAGTTAGGGACTTTCCCTCCAAGAAGGTTCATATACCACCAAGTTTTGCATCCAATTGTAGGAGGTACACACACACACACACACACACACACACACACACGCACACATGCACACATGCTGTCCCGATGAAGTCCAAGCCAAACACTCTGCTGCATAGTAGGTGCTCAATAAGTATTAAATGAATGAAATGTCCGTGTGTCTGCCCCTCTTTCCAGCCTGCAGGTCCCTCGATGGCAGGGTCTGTATTTTATTGTTATTATTATTTTAGAGACAGGATCTCGCTCTGTCACCCAGGCTGGAATGCAGTGGCATGATCATAGCTCACTGCAGCCTTGAACTCCTGGGCTCAAGCGATTGTCCTGCCTCAGTCTGCCAAATAGGCTGGCTGGGGTCTGTATTTTGAGAGTGCTTGCCCTAGGTGATAGGAGGTCAGAGGACCTGTGCCCCAAGGAACACAGAAGCAAGGCACAAGGCCAGTGTCTATGGGAATATCACAAGCCACCTCTTTCCTCCTGACCATAATTCATTAGCAGGACCCACTCCAAATTAATCTTCCTAAAGTGACTACTCAAAACCCTCTGCAGCTCCCTGGTGTCTGCAAAAGCATCTAAACTCCCCAGCCTGGCATTCAATCCCTTTTCCAAACCAGTCCCAACCTCCCTTTCCCCAGTCTTCTCTCCTGCGACTTCAGTTTGGCACCCCATGTTACAGCAATCTTCCCCTCAGATTTTGAGACAATTCCATTTCCCATAATAATTTTTAATAAGGGCAAGAAGTGAAATATCTGATTAAAAGTGATTTAATTTGTATTTTGCAACACTTTTTCTAATAAATTCACTACTCAGGGGAAAAAATCCTTTGTCATCCTGTGTGTTCTAATTTTTGCTTCAAATGACTAGGCATCTGCTAACTCCATGTTCTGTAAAACACTCCAGAGCTTTCCAGCTTCCACGGCTTTGCCCATGCTGTTCCTCTGCATGGGAGTCCCTTGCCCCCAATCCCTAAACTCTACCCCTCTCACCTGGCACACAGTAGGTGTACGATTGGTGCACAACTAATTCAGGGACTGAATCTTACTATGGAAGAGAAATAAAGCAGCTGTCACCCATCCTTCTGGGTCCTGCCCCTTCTTTTCTCATTTTTTCTTATTTAGGAAAAAAGCTATTCCATTGTGAGGATAAAATAGGTCAGATTCCTTCCCTCCCTCTGTCCTGTGGTCAGGCCAGACACACCCTCTGCCCAGGCCTCTCTGAGCCACCTCCAGCATTGTGAAAGTGTCAGAGACAATGTTGGATGATCTGTGTCCTGGCTCCACCCCACACTCATCTCTGCCCTGGGTCCTGCTACCTTGGAATCAGGTGGAACACTGAGGCTTCCATGCCATTGGCCCCTCCCTCCACAAAGAACAGGCAGGGAACAAGGGGTACTCTTCAATCAAGTAATAAACATTAATTTATTAAAATTCAATTTTTTTTATGACAGTGACTTAGAAATCAGAGAAAGCAACAGAGGTGCTCTCCTGCTCTGCTGACTGAACCCCAGAAGGCTGAAGCTCCAGCACTTTCTGCTGTCTCCGGTAGAGGCTGACCAAAAGTGCCTCAGGGAAGCCTGTCTCTGGCCCCCCAGGGTAAGCATGTGTTCTGGGGGAAAGGGGTGACTAACCTGGCATCCGTGGGATCCTGGAACCCTGTACATGTTTATATGCACACTTTTCCAGGGCAGAGGGGGAATGTTCACAGTGTTTGGGGGCTCTTCTAAGCCATCGTGATTCCATAAAAGTATAGAAATCAGTGTAGGTAGGGTTACCAGATTTAGCAAATAAAAATATTGCATGGGACATACTTATATTAAAAAGGCATTTGTGGTTTAGCTGAAATTCAGTTAACTGGGCATCCCAAATTTGATCTGGCGAGCTAAACCTGTGAGTTAGACCTGTGAAGATGTAACATCCTATGTGCCACAGCCATTCATTAATTCATTTGTCCTTCATTCAACCACCATCACACACTGAAGGAGACACTCTAGGAGCACAGTCCTGCGCCACCAAATGGCAAGGAAAACAATGGCCCTACGGCTGCCATACTGAAAATACAGATACCTGGATCCCAGCCTCTGCCCCACAGCACCCAGCTGCACCCTGTCCTCAGGGGTACCTGTCAGAAAGCAGCACCCCAGCATAGGGCCTCACTGGCATGCAGCTAGCACCAGGGGGTCATGGATGACTGCTGACGGGGCTCTGGCCCACCCACGCACCTTGATGAAGAGCCCCAACTCCTGGTCGCTCACACATGGATGGGCCCTCAGGAACTTCTCTCGGACCTCCCCCAGCTCCCACTGGGCCTGCTGCTCGTGGGGCTGCTCCAGGGCCTGGAACACCAGGGCACCAGACACCAAGTAGAGCAAGACCAGCGCCAGCAGGGCCAGTAGCGTGGTGCTGCGCATGGCGCGGCCCGGTGCAGGGCCAACTCCACTGCTCGCCTGGAGAGGCCGGGCGGGGGCCTCCTGGGGAGCTGTGGTCACTGCGGGCAAAACCAGGGATGCTGGGGTCAATGAGATGGCCTGACACCCACGCCCTCCTCCTGGACCCCCTACATGCCCAAAGATCCCTGGTGCCCCCAGCCCTGCTTTCCACAGATGATCCCCAGAACCCTCTGGCTGGACACTTGGTACCAGGGTTCACCCAGACTCCCCACCTCGGGCCTCTCCCTTACGTCCCCTGCCCGGCCCCGTTAAGGACTCCGGGATGTGAGAGGAGGAGAGGGCACCAGGAAGGGAAAGGAAGGCGAGTGGGAGGGCGAGAGAGACTGAGCCTGCCTAGGGAGAAGCAGGGCAGCGAAGCAGCGTGGGGGGCCTGGAGGAGGGTTGGGGAACCGGCCCTCGAGGAGGGGGCCGAGGGGGCGCGAAGGGAAAGCAGGAGGAGAGGCCGGACCCCGCAGGGCGGGGACGCGGGGTGGCGGGTCCGGCTCGCGGGCTGGGGCTGTGGCAGCATCCTCGCGGCTTCTCCCTCCCCTCTCTCCGTGCTCCCGGCTAGTCGCGACAGGTCGGACGCGGAGACTCCAGGGTCCCCCTGCGACCCGCCGGGCTTTCGAGGAACCCAGGGGCGGGTCCTGGCCGCTGCGCAGAAGCGAGGACCCGAAGGAGGGAGGGAGAACTCCCGGTGCCGGGAAGGAGTGGGGCGGGGGTCGTCAAGGGCCAGAGCAGTGACAGCTGTCAGTCCCCGGGACAGCGGGCGCCGGCGCCCACGCGCGTGCACGCCCTGACACGCGCCGCCACGCGCGGGCACCGAGACCCGCGCGCCCACGCTCCACCCTGCGGCTCCAGCCGGCCGCGCCGCCCAGGCTGCCTGCTAGCACCGCACCCGCACGCTCCCGCAGACTCCCGGCATCCGACCCCCATGGGCGTGCCGGCCGTGCACACGCCAGGCCACAGGGCCGCCGTGCCCGCCGCCTCCCCCAGTCCTCACGCCGACGCCTCGGAGCGTGACGGGCGGCGGGATGCGCCGTGACACCACTCCCCGAGGCGCCCACACGCGGGAGGTGGGCGCCCCGCCCAGTCCGTTGCCCCCCGGGCGCCCCTGCCTGGGTGTCCTGCCCGGGTCCCCGCGCCCGCCCTGCACTTACTGTCGGCCCTGCTGCGGCAGCGGCTGCAGCCCGGGCTCCCGCGCGGCCTCGCCGGTGCCGGTGCCGGTGCCGGCTGGGCCGCGGAGGCGGCAGGGGCGGAGCGGGCGGCCGCTGGGGCTGGGACCCCCCCCTCCCGCCACCCGGAGCCCCCCTCCTCCCTAGTTTAACCCACCCATCGCCGCGCCTCCCTCCGTTCAGCGCCCTCGCCGCAGGCGCCACCCTCAAACCTTTACCTGCCGCCGCCCGGCTCCCCAATCCCGGCTGCCCGCGGGCGGTGGGTGGCAGTGGAGCCAGAGAGGGGTTGCAGCTAAGTACAACCTTCTAATCTCAGACCGAAGCCCAGTGTGGCCAGCGGCACGGCCCCGACCTGGGCATCAACTGGCCCACCTCTTCGGACAGGCATCACACTAATCTCCTGGCATCTCCCAGGCCCATTACTGGATTGGGAAAGGCCCTCTTATCTCCGCCCCTGGGGATAGCCTGGCCCTTGGGCTCAGCACTCAAGGGAGCCCCCACCAAGGGTTGGGGAGTATCTCGCTGAAGCCACCTGGAATTGGCAGATGTGGGGGTTGGGATCAAGCTCTGGGAAGTCACTGCTGGGGCACCTCCTGTCCCCACTCCCATATCCCCAGCCTTTGGTCCTCACCTCTGTGCCCAGGAGTCAGCCCCAGGGTCCTGGGCTAGAGCTGCCTGCCAATCCCAGCAAGGAACTGGAGTCAGCTTTCTCTTTCCCACTGTCTGAACAGCCAAAGCTCTAGTGGGTCAAGAACTCACCCTTCCCTGCTCTCACCCACTTCTTTACAACCTCTGATCTCTCCAAAGACCCTCTTGCCTCCTGGGGTCCTTGGCCCTTGTGGTGGGTGGTTTCAAGCCTGAACTTTAAGGCTGACCACCCCTACCAGTAGGGGACCTGGACAGGTTACCAAACTCTGGAGTCTCCCTGTTTCCACTTACAGAAAAGGGATGATTAATCATCACTTCGGGGTGCTGTTCTGAGCATTAAAGAGGTCAGTGTTTATAAATGTTCAAAACAGAGCCTGGCTTGCACAATACAGCGCCCTACAAATGCAAGCAATTTTCCTTTCAACAAAAAATGATCACCCAGCTTCAAGCTGATTCTCTGTGATGCCTTCTCTAGAGGCCCCACAGGCCTGGTGCCCAAGACGATCCCAAACAAAAGGTGTCAAGGCAGGCCCAGAGCTAAGCCCAGGGAACTCTGAGAAGCTGGGACAGCCAGGTTATGTGGGCAGGAGACAGACCCTCTAATAAATGACTCCCAGGCATAGGACAGATCTCCCAGAGCTATAGGAGCAGAAGGCAGTGATGGTGCTATTGGAGGCAGCTGGAGAAGGGGACCCCAGGACCACCAGGCAGACACAGTGTGGTGGCCACCTGCTCACCTGGGCAAACCACACCCTGGGAGGGAGATAGGGGCTAATCAGCCACAGGAACAATTTCTTTGCAGGCCTCCGACTAACCCTGGGCACCTGGAGACCAAGTCAGGGTGGTGACAGGGATACAGGGCCTCCAGAAAGCCCAATCCATTGGGGTTAAGGCTCACAATAGTCACCTAACCATGGTGCTGTGGGACCCAGGACAGGGGCCACGGTTCCCTGACCAGGAGGCAGAAGACTTCATCAAGGTGATGTATGAAGCAGGTCTTAAGGATAAAGTAGAAACTGCTGGAGTGGGTAGGGGTCTGGAGTGGTAGTGGGTCTGGATTGAGCCCTGTGTGGTCTCCCTTCCCTGGCAGACTGCAGGCCCCTCCCTCTCTTGGCTCAGTAGCTTTTTTTTTTTTTTTGAGACAGAGTCTCACCGTGTTGCCTGGGCTAGAGTGCCGTGGCGTCATCCTAGCTCACAGCAACCTCAAACTCCTGGGCTCAAGCAATCCTACTGCCTCAGCCTCCCGAGTAGCTGGGACTACAGGCATGCGCCACCATGCCTGGCTAATTTTTTCTATATATTTTTAGTTGTCCGATTAATTTCTTTGTATTTTTAGTCGAGATGGGGTCTCACTCTTGCTCAGGCTGATTTCGAACTCCTGAGCTCAAACAATCCGCCCGCCTCGGCCTCCCAGAGTGCTAGGATTACAGGCGTGAGCCACCGTGCCTGGCCTGGCTCAGCAGCTTTAATGGGGGTAAGTGGCCTTTGCCCAGACCAGCAGCTGCTTCAAGGGCCAGCGTCTGGTCAGCCTTAGGCTACAATAGACAAAGGGGAGGGCAACCCAAAGCACATGACCGACAGACAGGTGACTAGACATGGGGCACAGACACTGTTTATTGAGTGGCAGGCACAGGAGAGGTAGATGACTCCGGTGTGGAAGCGGAGGTGGCAGGTCATGCCAGGGTGCTGTGGGCATCTGGCGGCCAGGGCCATGTCTCCCATCCTAGGGGGATGGCACAAGCTCACTACGACAGGAGCAGCAAGGAGCCGGCCAGAGAAGGGGGTGGCCATGTCCCTCAGGACCCTGGGCAAGAAGCGGCAGATGAACTTGGCACAGGGGCCTGGGGTGAGGGGGGCTGGGGTGTGGGTATTCAGGAGGAAGGTTGGGGAATCACGTCTGTGGGGTGGAGTAGAGACTGTGGTGATGGCCGCCTGGTCCTGGCACCTGGGAGAAGAGCAGAGGAGTGGTCCTCGTCTGGCTGCCCTCACACCAGCCCGGCTCACGCCCGATGGCACCATACCAGCTGCCAGAGCCTAGGCTGCCCGACATGCTGCAGGCAGAGAAACAGGGTCAGTCCCATGGCAGAGACCAGAGCCACAGTCCCAAGAGTTGGGGGAGGAAGAGAGACTTAGAACAGAGCCCCTGTGACCTGGACATCCTGGGCAAGGGGTAAGGGCTTTAGCACTAGGAACTCAGAGGAGACCTCACCTAGTACAGATAGGGAAATGGAGGAGACAGGGTGGGGGGCGGCAAGACCTGGCTCTTGGTCCCCCATGGCTCGATGGAGCCAGGCAGGGCCAGGGGTCCTGAGGCGGGGTCAGGGCTCCTACCTGGTGCTCTCGCCCCGGCTGTGCTCCCAGGAGCAGCCCTCGTCCTCACAGTGCCCAGCCCGGTCGAAGAAGTAGGAACGGGAGCCAAAGACCTGCCCATTGAGGATGCGGCTGGTGCTCTGGGGGGAGGAAGCTGCCATCGGTGCTTTCTCCTGCTCCCTACTGGCCTCCCACAATCCAGACCCCAGACCAGATTCCCAGTGTCCACCCCTCTCCACCAGCCCTGCAGAGGAGGGTGGAGGCCCTCACCAGGTCCTGTGGGGGCCGGTGCACCCGGAAGAAGCCCACCAGCAGGGTGGTAGGCAGCAGCTCCCACACGAAGAGGATGAGGCCAAACACCAAGTAGCCTTTGTTCCCCAGGTCATTTACCAGGTCCGCCTGTGGGAAGGCAGGGGCTTGTGCCAGTCTGCAGTCATGCTAATGGGGCACGTGGACAGGACCCAGGCCAGCTGGGGGCTAGGCATCATGGCTACTAAGGGGGTGGGAGACATGCCAATGCCCACCTGGTCAGATACATTGTACCAGTCGTAATCAAAGGCATCCAGCCGGCTCCGGGGGGCCAAGGCCAGGGCTGCCAGGTTGTAGCAGGCCCGGCTAGCATACAGCAGGACCATGGCACCACCCATTGCAGCTGCCTGGCACACACTGGTCCCCTGGCACAGATGACAACAGAGGATCCTCAGGGAAGGAAGGCTCCCAGCTTCCTCTATACCCTGAAGACCGATGCCCAAAGCTCCCAAAGGACGCCTGGGCATCAGGGCTTGTGGCCCTACCTTGGCTTCCAGGTAGATGCTAGTGGAGGGGGCCCGCCGGGCGACAAGGCAGAGGCAGGCAGCGAGAGAGAGTGCACAGATGACGAAGAGGGAGTCGCTCACTAGGACTCGAACCAGCAGTAGGGCCCAGGGCTGTGCTCGGCGCCGGCGGGAGAGCACAGCACACAGCACGTTCACCAGCAGAAAGAGCAGCGAGGCCCCCACAAAGGCCCCTCGGACGGCCAACCTAGAGCCCAGAGCACAGTCAGCCCCGGACCACTGACTGCCCCTGGCACTCACCAACCACCCTACCTGCCCCAGGAGACCCAGTGTCAATCAGAACTCATTATCCAGTCTGAACTCTGTTCCTCCAGTCTTACAGATGGGGAAACTGAGGCCCAAAGAGGTCAGAAGGTGACTGACAGCTGTGGTACTTTGGAAAAAGCACCAGATTGGGAGTCAGAAATCTGGGTTTTAGCCCTGGCTCTGCCTCCTGCCAGCTCTGTGACCTTGAACATGTTGCTTTACCTTGCCAGGCCTCAGTTTCTTCACCTCTCAAGTGAGGATAATATAACAGCCTCCCAAGTAAATTGTAAAAATGGAAGATGGTTGTGAAAGCTCTTTATAAACTGTAAGACACTGTACAAATGACAAGAGTATTGCTCCCCTAGGTCACCCAGAAGTGCAGTTTGGCTTTGGTGCTTCCATGGGCTGGAGCCTCCAGCTCTTTCTCCATCATGGATGACACTAGTGCACTCTCCCCTCATAGTGCCATGACTGCTGCTATTATCGTTGCCCTTCATACATGCAATGCCTCTGCTGAGCCATCTGCACCAGGTGCTTTAACTTTTCCAAGCTTTTCCACAAATATTCCCTGGGTTGTTCTTGCCTCAGCCCTGAGAGACAGGAAGGGATATCTACACGGGGCTGTTCCCTGCCCCTGACCTGGGGGCTGAGCCCATCATTGTCCCAAGTACTTACAAGCCTCGGCTCATCTCTGGCCGACGCTTCGCCTTGGCCTTGAACACCACCTAGGAGCAGAGATGCCCATGACTCCCTTGGGTCTTTGGAGCTTGCCACCCCCACCCCCCCTACCCATTACCATGGTTACCTGGGCAAAGTAGAGGTTCATAAGCGTCAGGGTGAAGAACTGCAGGCAGACAGGGCAGCAGTAGAGAAGCCAAAAGGGCAAGGGCCCCAGGCGGTTGGCTCGGGAGGTATCTCGGAAGTAGAAGGAGAAGAGGGTGGTACGCAAGGCAGCCCAGAGCAGACAGAGTGCCAGGAACACCGTCTGATAGCTGAGACGCTTGTGCCCATACAGGAGCACCAGCCAGAGCTGGGCATACACGGAGAAGAAGAGCAGGGCGTACAGGGTGGTGTAGGCCGCGGTCAGCCCCAGGGTCACCGCGGGCGGCAGCGCAGGCACCAACCCGGCAGCAGGCACCAGGCCAGACAGGTTACTCTCCATGTCAGGAAGGGAGGCCTGAATCCCAGAGACAGAGATGGATGGGCTGGCAGGGTGCCAGGGAAATAAATACTGAGGGGTGGGAATTGCACGGTGCAGAGACAGAGACGGGGAGCTCAGGAGGAAAGAAGTTGTGCCTGCCAGGCCCCTCCTCCTCGACAGAGAGAGACCCTTGCCCTTGGGGAGCACGGGCAGCCTGGACCTCCGGCCCTGCACTCAGGGGAGTGGAAGGGCAGTTCCTCCTCTCCTGGGCAGACAGGGTGGGAGTTGGAGGGTGTCTCCTCTCTGGGCCGACCCCAGAGCCAGGGGTGGGGAGGGTGCAGAGGCCAAAGGAGAGGAATCTGTGGCCTTGATCGCTCGTGTCGTCCTGGCAGGAGGGGGAGAGCCCACCGATGCCCGTAAGCTTAGGGCGGCCGCCGCAGCGGGGGGCGCCCAACGCCCCGCTCTCCCCCTCCTCAAGCAGGGGGAGGCTCTCTCCCCTCCAATAATCCAGATGGGGAGCCTCTGCCTTCTGTCCTGGGGATTGCGGACGCCGACCCCACCCTACCCCCACCGCATCCACTCTCCAGCCGCAAGGGGCAAGAGGAGGCCGATGCCTGGTCCTCAGGCCGCAGCTGGGGGAGCCGGCTCCGGCCGCCGGGACCCGGGGCTCCGGCTCCCCAGCTCCCGCTGCTCCGCCCCCTCCTGCGCCTGCGCGGGTGCGGTTCGCTACGCAAATTGCGCAGGGGCCGGCCTGGCTCCGCAGCCCAGCGCCGCACCCGGCGTGGGGCTGTTCGAGAATTGGCGCGAGCTGCGCCGCCGGCTGGCGCCAGGTGTTACGCGAGGCGGCAAGCGGCCGAGTTGCGGGGGCCGTGCCGCAGCCAGGCAGCTATAGGTTGGGCTGTGTCCCGGGCCGCCGGCCCTCGCTTGTTCGGGAGGCCGCCAGTTCCCACGCTTCTCTACCCCATCCCCGAATCGGGATCGCGTCGCCCGGCTGGGGGCGGCAACGACTTCCCCTCACTCGGGCTCTGAAGGAAAACTTCCGCCCATAGCCAAGATGGTCTCCGGGCCCCGCCCCTTGGGCCTTAACCCGCGGCCGAGTCCCCGGGCGCGTCCCCCGCCGCTCCCGCTCACCTGAGCGCGCCGCCCCGCCGGGCGCCAAGCCCCGCGAGTGCTACGGTCCGCCCTCGCAGGGGCCCCCGTCCCTTCTCCCTCGCCTGGCGGTCATCCTATGCCAGGGAGGAGCCTCCTTTCTTATCTCCAGTGCCCCCGAGATGGCGCGGGGAGATGTCCCTGAAGCGGGCGGCGCAAAGCCTACACTTCGGGGAGGAGGAAGCGGGACTTCCCGACTGGTCACCCGGCCCAGGCGGAGCAGTAACAATAACAATAACTGTATCCGATGGCTGAGCTTCAGCTGCGGCTTCGCAAAGTGCTTTCACCCACAGTAATCACTCCTTTTACAAAGTTTTCACTGGCTTACGAGGGAGGTGTCACAATCCCCATTTTACAAGCGGGGAAACTAAGGCACAGAAGGGCTGAAGGACTTGACAGAAGAAGCGAGCCAGGTTCCAAATGGGGACCCTCGAGAAACCCTCACCTGCCCCCACACACGCCCAAGGCGTGAGGAAGCGGGAGCTGAGCCGCGGGAGATGAGAGCGGGACAGAGGAGGAAGGCGGTGGGCGCGGAGTAGGTTGGGCGGCGAGAGGGGCCGGGCCCGGGGCGGCCCCGCCTCCGGGCCAACCCGAGTGACATCTCGAGAGCTGATTGGGCCGGATCGCTGACAGTTCCCGTTACCCAGGTAACTAGGGCTGGCCGCCCTCAGTACCGGAGGGAGGCGGCGGGCCCGGGTCAGGGGCCTCGAGATCGGGCTTGGGGTGAGACCTGGGTACCGTCACCACCGGCGGGGTGGGCCGGGGCCTGGGTAGGAGCCTGGGTCTTCCCCATAGCCCAGGGACTCTGAGGGGATATTTAGGTTCTGGGCGGACAACCCGAGTTCCCTACTGGGCCAGACTCAGCAGAGAGATGAGGGCCTGGGAGGCCTGAGGGCACTAGGGTGGGAAAGGGAACCAGAGACACCTGCCTCTGCCCCCGACAGCCATCGTTTGTCCCGGTTGTGCCCTGAACTACCTACCATCTTGTCCACACAGCCCAGAGCATGTTCCAGATCCCAGAGTTTGAGCCAAGTGAGCAGGAAGACTCCAGCTCTGCAGGTAGGGGCCTGGGCCCCAGCCCCTCAGGGGACCGGCCCTCAGGCCCCGGCAAGCATCCCTGCACGGCTCCAAGCTTCCTGGGGGACGCCAGTCACCAGCAGGGGCAGCCCAGCAGCAGCAGCCACCATGGAGGTAAAAACCCCCTAACCTGCCTGTCCACCCTATCCCCAGCCCATTAGCTCCCTCCACCGCAGCTGCATCCACACCCAATGACGGCTTTGGGTAAGAACCTAACCTCTCTGACCCTCTGTCTCCTGTAAAACAGAGCAATTACTCACCACCGTTACAGGACTTTTGGGTTAATTAGCAGGAATATATAGGAAGCACTTGATTATAGAGCTGGTGCCTGGTAAGTGCTCAAAAAAGCTAGCTGTTATTGTGGGGCCAGGACAGAAATTAGAGGCAGGCAGTGATCCAGAAAGGAAAGGTGACTTACCTAAGGTCACACTTGCTTGGCATTGCCTTTCTTAGGAGGCAGGGCTGAAAGAGTCCTTGCTGCCCTGCCCCAGGCTATATACGTTCCCTGGGATTGGGCCTTTCAGCTCCTGGGTGTGTTCTTTCTCACCCTGTGGCTTACACCCACAGCAGGGTTGTCCTTGCCCAGTTTCCAGGAGCAGGTGACCCTAAGGGGCAGACAGTCCTCCCAGGCCACAGGCCTGTTTGGGGGTAGGAAGCATAGGCACCAACATGGAAGAACAGGCATGGAAGGGCAATGGCCATTTCTCAGTAGTACCCACCTCCCCCATGCCCAGCACCAGCCTTGGCACCTGGAACAACCACAGAGATCTTCTGAGAACAAAAATCAGGTCGTGTCACTTGACCGCTGAAACTTAAGTGACCCGTCTCCCCATTTTCAGGAGTAGGAAGGCTTACCCCATCCTTCCCTTACACACTCCGCTCTCACAGACTGGACCCCTCAGCTTTGCCTTCCAGATCTTGCACTTGCTGTTTTTCTGCTCACAACCCCCACCTGTTCTCCCTGCCACCTGGCTGTTCTGACCCACCTGGCGCTCACTTCCTCCACACAGTGAGTACTTACAGTTTGCCGCAGGCTGAAAGGAGTCAGGAATTCTTGCCCCTGCTGAGCTTACGTTCTAGTGAGGCAGGGGGAGACGGGCCAGGAGCAAAGAAAAAAGTACATTCTACAATGCAGCAGAAGGTGACGTGCACTGGGGCGGTGGGCAAGACAGTACAGAGAATCCAGAGTCGTGGGGGCTGGAGAGGGATCTTAACTGAAGTGGCCAGGGCCAGCCCGGGTAAGAAGCGACACTGGAGCCAAGGCGAGAGGGGAAAAGGTCCAGGCAGAGGGAAGGGCAAATGCAAAGCCCTGGGGCAACACCTGTTCCAGGCTAGTGTGGGCCGAGGGGAGAAGGCGAGAGGAGTTGAGGACCTGAAGTTGAATATCATTGTAAGGACTTTGGCTCTGGCTTTGAGTGAAAAGCAGGGAAGGCTTTGAGCAGAGACCCGTCTGACTTAGGCACGCAGAGAATCACGAGGGAGGTGGCGAAAAGGAGCTGGACGCTGGGCTGAGAGCACCGGGAGAGCTGGCAGGACTTGCCGACCGACTGGATGTGGGGTGCGAGGGAGAGAGGAGTCCAGCCTGAGCACCCTGAAGGATGAGCTTGCCCTTAACAGAGATGGAACACTGAGGGCTGGGGGAAGATCCAGAACCCCATTTGGGCCGTGTCAGGCCTTTTAGGCATCTAGGTGGGATTTCCAGTAGGGTACTGGTGGGACCTGGCAGGGAGGTGGAGTCCACCAGGGCCGTGCTTGTCTCAACCCAGGGCGGGGGCCATGGCTGGAGGGGGTGTGGGAGGGAGGGGCAGTGTGGGGTGCAGGCTGGCTAGGCGTGAGGAGAGCAACAGGCCGTGGGATCGGGGGCATCCCTGGAGTTGGGGTATGGAGGGGGCGATCTGGACAGGTAGGAGGCAGTGGTCAACCCATGGGAGTTATTTGGTAGCGATGAGGTCTAGGTTGTGGCCATGGGAACGAGAATCTGAGGGGAAGGCACAGAAAGGCTAGGAGGTGGAGGACCGCTCAGGTCCTATGGCAAAGACAGGAATGGTGGTGGACAGAGCGGCAGAGAACAGGAGTAATATGTCCCAAAAGCAAGTGATTTCCTACAAAAGGTCTGCAAATGCCAATGACTTGCCAGAGCCACAGGGCTCTGCCCCCTGTGTGGGCAGGGCAACTCTCTTCATACTCCCTGCCACCAGGCCCCCGCTGGACTGTAAGTGTCCCCAGGGCACGGACTGCAGCCCAGTGCCTAGGGCGGGCATGAGTGGTGGAAAGGGGAAAAGGACTCTCGGTGGGCCAGACTGCAGGGTTCAAAGGCAACTCTGCCCTTTATGAGCAGGTTAATTAACTCAATCTGCCTTAGTTTGCTTATCTGTAAGATGAGAATAGAACTAGTCCCACCTCAGAGGGTTGTAGTGAGGACCTGATGAGTTAATATAGGAACAGTGCCTGGCACGGAGGAATGGCTGTGTAAGTGTTTACCATTCTTACTGTTACTATGGTCGTTATTGTTATTATGAGTTGGCCCAGGCTCTGAGCAGGCCCAGAGGTGCTCACGCTCAGCTCCTAGGGGCCATTCATCCAGTGGGAGTAGAGACATCAATATCCGGTGCACCCCTAATGGTGGACAAGTGAAATACAGGTTAGAATTGGAACATTAGGGCCTTGAAGGCCACACCAAGGGTTTGGATTTTATCTTGTAAGCAAATAGGGAGGGAGCCATGAAGGTTTAAGGCAGAGGACAGACACACATAGTTGGGTTTTAGAGCAAAGGTAGTCAAACTATGCCACAGGCTAAATCCTTCTGTTTTTGTACAGCCCAGGAGCTAAGAATGGTTTTTATATTTTTACATGGTTGAGACCGGGTGTGGTGGCTCACGCCCATAATCCCAATACTTCCTGGAGGTCAAGGTGGGAGGATCAATTGAGGCCAAGAGTACAAGACGGCGAGAGAGAGAAAAATTAGCCAGGCATGATGGCGAGTGCCTGTCATCTAAGCTACTCTTTTTCTTTTCAAAAAAGAAAAAGAAAATGGTTGATAAAAATCAAAAGAACCATATTTTGTAACACACGAAATTCAAATTTCAGTGTCCCTAAATAAAGTGTTAGTGGAACACTAAATACAGTGTGTTCATTTACATGTTGTTTATGGCTTCTTTCAAGCTATGACCAAAAGTTGAGTAGTTGTCACAGACATGTGTGGCCCACTGAACCTAAAATATTTACTATCTGGCCTTTTACAAAAAACGAGAATATTTTCCAGCCCGTTTTAGAGGTTTTTAGAGACAAGGTCTCACTCTATCACCCAAGCTGGAGTGCAGTGGAATGATCATAGCTCACTATAACCTCCAACACCTGGGCTCAAGTGATTCTCCTGCCTCGGCCTCCCAAGTAGCTGAGACTATTGGTGCATGCCAACATGCCTGACTAATTTTTAAAACTTTGTTGTAGAGACAGGGTCTCACTATGTTGCCCCGGCTGGTCTCGAACTCCTGGCCTCAAGTGATCCTCCCAAAGTGCTAGGATTACAGTTGGGAGCAATGCACCCAGCCAGAGTGTTTTCTGATTTCATCAGCTCTGAGCAAGGTGAGGTATGTTCTTTACTGGCCTGCCAAGGGGCTTGTGTACTGAAACGCTTTAGTCAAGGCAAGGCCTGCAGGCGCTAGAAGCTGACAGGCAGTGAATGCCTGCTGGGGTGGCGGTAGCATAGGCCGCCCTGATGATCTGCCGGCAGAGTTTGTGTAGCCTGCATGTGGTAGAGGCAGGACACAAACCTAGCCCTGCCTGCTGGCACAGCTTCAGTGCTTCAAATGGCTAGAACACCACTGTTTTAATCAAGTGTGCAAGGATGCTTATGGAAGCATAAACTGGAATGTGTTCAGCCCCATCCACTCACCTGGAAGCCCAGTGGGTAAAGAACTTAAAGCCGAAGGTACACTGCTGGGGCCTGGGGCACACACTTCCCTCTCCCCCACCCCAGCCTCTGGTCAGACTCTGGGAGGATGGCTTGAGTGGGTAGGCCTGGGTACCCACCCATGCTCACACCCAGAGGGGAGCCACACCCCTTCCCTTCCCCCAGAAAGGAGAGAGTCTGGCCCAGGCCCTGCTCCACCCGTCCCCTTCCCCCAGGGAGTTCACAGAACCTCCACTCTTGGGTGTTTTCCAGTAAATAGAAGGACACTTTTTAAAATTCAGTTTAATACAAATGGGTGTCATTTTGATGGTGGCTAATTTAGCACTGCTAAATCCATGGCTTTGGTAAGAACGCCCCACCCCACAGGAGGGGCTCCTAGCAGAGCCCACTCTAGCACAAGGCCCAAGGGCGTGTTCCTTAACCTAGGCCCCCAAGGCAGCCCGTGGTGCAGCTGGAGGAAGCCTGGAGCGTGAGGGTTAAGTACAGAACTCTTGGATCCCAGCTCTGCCATGTATCTACTAGCTGTGTGACCTTGGGCAAGTTACCCTTTCTGCCTTAGTTTCCTCTGTAAACGGGTGACCGTGAGGAACCTCCCTGACAGGGTGTGGTGAGGACTAAACAAATAAACACTCGGGAGTGCCTCCAACCTGACCGGGCTGTGCTCTTCTACTTGTTCTGATTCCTGCACCAGGGGCGGTGCCCAGGCCAAATGTCCACCTGCGGGTCACTCACCCTCCAACTGTGGGCCTTGCATCTGTCAAGTGCGGTGGTCCTGTGGTCCTACTGAGAACTAGTAGAGAAGAACAGCTGCCATTTCCTGAGCACTTAGGTGGCCAGGCAGGGTGTACCAGCTACGTGACCTCGGGCAAGTTTCTAGCCTCATGGTGCCTCTGTTTCCCCATCTATAAAGTAGGGAGAACTTGGTATCCACCTCCCTGGGAAGCTGAGAGGCCCCAAGATGTGAAAGGGGTAGGGCAGGGTGCTCTCCTGGTCTCGTTTGTTCTCGTGGTGGTCCTGGGAGATGGGCGACTGCCCCCATTTCACAGAAGACACTGGTGCCCCCAAGGGGTTGGAGAATGGGCCCACCTAGCTACTGTCAACAGAAAAAAAAGCCAAACTCTGTAAAATAATTTTAAAGAGATTTACTCTGAGCCAAATTTGAGGACCATGACCCGGAGCCACGCCCAAGAAGCTTTGAGCAAGTGGACTTGCTGTGGCTGGATTACAGTTTGGTTTTATACATTTCAGGGAGACAGAGGTTACAGGTAAAGTCATAAATCAATACATGGGAGGTGTACATTGGTTTGGCCCGCAAAGGTGGGCCATCTCCAAGGAGGGCACTTACAGATTATAGGTGGGTTTAAAGATTCTTTGACTTGTAATTGGTTAAAGATATGAAGCTTTGTCTAAAGGCTTGGAATGTTTTAACATAGGAGCTGTTTATCAGAGATAGGCCACAGGAGTAAATTGAGGACCTGCAGGTTTGTCTTGCATACCCTTAGGCCTGTTAATGGGTTACAAAGGATGTCTCCAAGAAGGGAGGGGGGCATGATGAGGCATGTCTGACCTCCTTCCTCCTGGCAGGCAATCTAGTTTTAGGATATTCCTTTGGCCAGGAGAGGGTCCATTTAGTCAGCCAGTTGGGGGGCGGTGAGCCTTAAAATTTTATTTTAGTTCACACTGCTGACCCCTGCTCCACTGTCCAAGTCCCACGGGACTGCAAAGTGCTCTGCAGACAGGCCCGTTCCCATCAGCGCTCTATTTTTTCCTAGCTCTCCAGCCTGCAGCCCCAGCCTGACTCCCCACTCCCACACTGCTCCTTCAGGGCCTTGAGGCGTCCCCACCTTCCCTGCCTGACCTCGGGTTGCATCTGGGCTTTGGTAAAGCTCAGAACAGCCAGGCACTCTGATCACATACTCTTGGCCTAGGCCTTGTGGTGTTCTCTCATTCCCTTCCTGGCTTCTCAGTCACTGGCCCACAGTGCTCTGCCAAAGGTCCTTTCAGGGAGGAGGAGACATTCTGTTATCCTCAGCTTCAGTTCCTGGCCTGTATCTTACCTCCTCCAAAAAGTCTTCCCTGACAGACACACCTTGCTGTGAACGCTGAGCATGTTCTCCTGCCTGTCTCTGTTACTTAGCTCTGGGCTGTCTGCTCCTGGGAGTGGTTCCAGGTCTTTGTTGGTCTGGGTACAGTTGGCAGGAGTCAGGGGATGGTACACAGATAAAACAGACCACAGTAGAGGTCCCTCTAAATAATACCCATAGGGCACTTGCAGCCTACAAAGCACTTTCAAACTCTTTGTTTTAGGCGACCTTTTACACAGCCACTGGGAGTAAGGGCTAGTCAGAGTTGAAGGGTGGTTGGACAAGGGAAGAGGTGCATAGCTCAAGGGATAGTTGCTGGACTCTGGATTCCACCAAACTTCTAGGGACTTCCAGCTTCAGGCCCTCACAACTGTGTGACCCTGAGCAAGTCAAACTCCCTAAGCCTCTGTCTTCTCATCTGTAAAGTGGAGGCAATGTTAGTATTTACCTCCCAGAGTGGTTAGTAGGATAATGACGGACTATCAAGGCCTAGCACACAGTAAGTGCTCCATAAATGTTACCTAAAAAAGTCAACAGACAATTCCAGACATTTTTTCCCCGAAGCAGGTTCTGTGGGGGATGCAGACACATAAGCTGACAGGTGGGTGTTCTCCAGGGGCCCCTGCAGGTCCCTTGCAGAGATGTCCCGTCTTGCCTGCTGGGGCAGGACACCTCCCTATCCAGAGATTTGGTTTCTTCTGTAGAATGAAGAAGATGAATAGGTACCCACCCAGGGCTTGCTGGGAGGCCCCATGACGGTCTTGCACAAATAATTATAGTCACTATTTCTTATGCCCTTATTTTGTGCCAGGAACAGTGTAAGTTCATTTTGCACTCTAAGGGCCTCATCCATTATTGGCACTCAGTAAGGATTTGTAGAATTAATAAGTTAATTTGAATCTTCACAAAAGACCCGTGAGCTTCCCTTGATTTGTGTATGAGTGAACTGGGGCTCTGAGAGTTAGACTGTGAAGTGCCCACGAAGACATTAGCGGGCCGGAGGCGCAGAAGAGCTGAGAGTCGGGTCGCCCACCAACCCCTGACTCTCTCTGCAGGAGCTGGGTCTGTGGAGACCCGGAGTCGCCACAGCTCGTACCCCGCGGGGACAGAAGAGGATGAAGGGATGGAGGAAGAGCCCAGCCCCTTCCGGGGCCGCTCACGCTCGGCGCCCCCCAACCTCTGGGCTGCACAGCGCTATGGCCGCGAGCTCCGGAGGATGAGCGACGAGTTCGAGGACTCCTTCAAGGTGAGCGTCGGTTCTAGGCCGCTTCCCATCGGTCTGTCCCTTCCATGTCCCAGGACCCTTCCCCTACCACTGGCGAGTTCCAAGATCCCGCCCCTCCCACGGACCTGTTTCTTCTGAGTCCCAGAGCATGCCGGGATCGGTAGTTTCAGGCTCCACCCCGCTTCCCCTGTTTGTCCCGTCTGTGTCCCGGGGCTTGCCGGGACCTGTAGTTTCAGATCCTCCCGCCCCACCAGCTTGTCCCGTCCGTGTCCCAGGACGCCCCACCCCCGCCGCCGTTTGAGTCATGTCCCAGGGCATGCCGGGAGTGTAGTCCAGATCCCGTTCCAAGCTAAAGTCCCCGGGTTTCCCAAATTCTTGGGAGCGCGAGGCATGCTGGTATTTGTGGTCGTGGCCTAGCCCCGTGCGGGTGTCTGGGCTTTTTAGCCCCAACTTCGGAGACACTTCCTTAATTCCTGAATTGCGGGTGCTGGGTTTGCGGCTCTGGTGCTTCCAGGGCCTAGGCGTCTTTCCCCTCTGTCCCCAGCTCGGAGTTCCTGGGCTCTAACCAAGCCCCACTCCTGAAGGCCTAAGCGTCCTGTCGCGCTTCCCTGACCACACATGCTAGGCATGCTGGGACCTCACAGGTGGGGCCTGGCTGTAGCCTCCACGGTAGTCTAACGCAATTAACTTTTTCCCCCCTCCCAACCCCGAAGGGACTTCCTCGCCCGAAGAGCGCGGGCACAGCGACGCAGATACGGCAGAGCTCCAGCTGGACGCGCGTCATTCAGTCCTGGTGGGATCGGAACGTGGGCAGGGGAGGTTCCGCCCCCTCCCAGTGACCTTCCGTGCCACATTCCCGAAACTCCACCCGCTCCCGTCGCCGTCGGCGGCCATCTTGGGTATGGGCGGAAGTCGTTTCCGCAAGCTTTATTTTATGCAAAGAGGTTCCGCGCTGTCTCTTTCGGAGGGAGGTTGTCTGACCCAGATTCCCTTCCGGTGCGTGCGAGAGCCACGGACGGTTCGGCCCCATCGGAAGTTTTGAAGTTTTGTCGCCCGTAGCCGCCGGAAGTGGCTCCGTGGCCACGCCCTGCGGCTCTGAGCTGCCCCGAGGTCGTGAGCGGGGCTTAACCGTTACGTCACCAGAGCCCGTTCCTGCGCGGTGCCCCGCGGGCTCGCGGGCAAGAGTGCTAATAAAGCCCGCGTCTGTGCCGCTGAGTCTCCTCTGTCCGTCGTGTGGGTAGCGCGGTCACGGGTAGTTTCCAAAGATATCTCCGTTTTACGCATGAGGGAAACAGGCTCTTTTTGAGTGGCACCAGCCGCGGAGACCGGGAAGGGCTGGGGGCGGCAAGCGGGGCCGGGGCTGCTCGGCCTCCGGGAGGCGGAGTGCGGCCGGGCCCCAGGGCGCCAGTTCCTTATCTCTAATGCGGTAATTGGGAGCCGCGGCCCGGCCGGCTGCCGGAATTCCGCACTCTGCAAACCGTGCCGCGGCTCCCCGGGGAGGGTCATTTGTTCCTATTTGGGTCAGTCCTTGTGTGCAGCTACTTTGTGGCCGGCTTGGGGCCAGCGCTGCTCAGGGACCTGGCAGGACACGCGGGCGGGGGTAGCGGAAGGCTCCGCCGAGGGCTTCACACGAGGACCCAGCGCGGGGCTCGGGCTCAGCTCCAGAGAGATTTATTGGCGCCTGCTGTAGCCCCGGCCCGGGCTTCGTAGTGCGTGTACAGCGATGAATTGCGCCACAGCCCCGCTCGCGGAAGTTTCCTGGCGAGGGTGGAGAGCTAGAACAGAGGGTCCGGACCTGGGTGAGGGAGGCTCTCTCGGGCGGGGAAGTCAGGGAGGGCTTCAGGGAGGAGGCAAGTTAGAGTTTCGACCAAAAGGTAAGGTGAGGGATGGGGCTGTCACTCCCAGCAGTCGGGAGAGTGGACCCATGAAAGGACCAGAGGGAGCAACAGAGGCCAGGCTTCTGAAGGGGGTGAAATGTCACACCCAGGAGTTGAGAATTTAGCTGGTTTCTGAGGACCCGGAGGCCCACATGGAGTGTTTCTGCAAGTGGGGGGGAGTGAGGTCAGGAAGGTGGGTGTGGCTGCTGTGGGGCCTGGACACGGAGTACAGGAGAGTGGGCAGATTTGGGGATAGGACCAGGTCTGACAGCACAAGCACAGAAGGCTTGGGCACTGGTATTGACCCTGAGGGAAGAGAGCCCTGGGCAGAAGTCGAGCCAGAGAAGGCCCTGCTCTGGACAGGTTTCTCTGGCCTCCCCACCCCATCTATTTGCCTGAGGCTGCAGCAAAAACAAAGTAAAGCAAACATTCAATTGGCAGGAGATAAGCCCAGATAAGAGGCTGCCTTCCTCTGGAGGAGGGAGTCAGTCAGCCCGGACAGCCAGGAAGCTGGGAGAGGCCTTGAAGAGGTGCCAGCCTGACCCTGCTGCAGGCCTGCCACGCCCTCGAGCCCTCGCTGTGGGCTCTCCGTGGCTCCGCGCAGGTCCTGAGGCATGGAGCAGGTTCACTGGGCTGGCCAAAGACAGTCTGCCACAGAGGGTCTAGGCCTGCCCTGCCGCCAGGTCAGGACATCTTAGCTGTGGCCTGGCACACGGACATGGCTCTGGGCTTCCATTTCCTCCGTAAAACAGGCATAACATCTCCCTCGCAGGGATGAGGGGGATGCTGGGCATCCCAGCCCCCGCGAGTGTCTGCGACTGTCAGCTTCCCTTGCTCCCAGGGATCACCGGGAGCCTCACTTCCCACCTATCTCTGAAAGGCCAGGTCCGTTGGTGTCGGGCAGGTTCTGAGCTGCCCAGCTCCACCCCAGCCGTCCATCCCGCGATACAGAGTCAGCTGCCTGTCGGGGCCCGGAGCAGCCCGGGCGGAAGATGCTGGGTGTTTGGGTCATATCAGGCAACAGGAAGGGGGGCAGGGAGGCTTCCTGAAGCAGAGGCCTGAGCCTCTGTGAAGGGAGGATGGGGAGAGCTGAGGAGGGAGAAAAGCAGTGGGTTGAGGGGAGCCACGGCCAGGGGGACAGGGCCAAAGGCAAGTCAGTGAGGAAGGCTGCCGGGAAAACCTGCAGGCCCTAGGGAGGCAAGGGTGTCTCAAGTTCAGATCCAGCAGCCCTTCGCTGGGGGCCTGACCTCAACCCCACCAATGCCCACAGCTATTTTATGGATGAGAAACAGGCCCCAGAGAAAGTGGCAGAGCCAGCGCCCTCTTACCTCAAAACACACTGCACACAGGGTCCCTGAAACCCACTTTTATTCATGTAAAAAAAAATCCCCAAAGAATAGAGAAACAATGTGACCCCGACTTCCCAGAGCTCCATGTCTCCAGCCAGTGCTCCCTAGGAAGTGCAGGAGACGCCACCAACTCTGGTGTGTGGGTGCCATGGGGGGCACGGCCCGGCCCAGGCCCTTCCCTAGGACTGAGGGCAGGAAGGAGGGCTGGGGGCTAAAGGGGCACCAGGAGGATGAAGGAGGGGGGTTAGTGTGGGATATTCGCTCCAGGTTTAAAAAAATAAAATTTCTAAAGATAAAAAGTTAAAAAAAAAAAAAAAGCATTAGTGTCTTCATCTCCTGCCCTCTGCCCAGTGCCCACCCTGGCCCTGTGGCCACCTCTTGCTCGGAAGTTCAGAGCTGTGTGTTCTCCTCCTGGCTCTCCGAGTCAGCACCAGAGAGGTGCCCGCTGCTCTGGGGTGTGTGACCGTTGCTGGCACAGGCCACCAGAGGCCCGTCCCCCAGCCCCTCCGGCGTCTCGCCCAACAGGCTCCGGCGGACCTCCCGTGGCAGCCTTGCCCGCTGCTCCTGGCACTCCTGGGCCAGCTGGGCCAGCAGCTATGGAGGAGGACGGGAATCACAGTAAGGCCAGGCCGCCCAGCACCTGCCTGCCCACCCGCCAGCCTCACCACGGCCTCACCTGGGGCTCCTCTTCCGCCAGCTGCTGTAGGACCTGCTGCTGCCCCGCCACGAGGCGGTCGTGTCGCTGTTTCTGGGCCTCCTCCAGCTATGGGGGTGGGCAAGGGCTCAGCTGAGGGGCCCTCAGGGAGGGGCCAGGGCCCTGGGGTTCTGGCTGGGTACAGAAATCAGGCGGGTGAAGGCTCCTGGGACTGTGTGGCCAGGGCTGTGAGATGGCTAGGCCCAAGGACTCCAAAGCCAAGGGTACTGCCACAGATGGTTGGCTTTGAATATAATGTGGGCACCAGGAGGCTGTCGGGCCTGGGGAAAGGCTCTAGAAGCCCCTTGAGGGTAATGTGGCACCAGGCCAGGCACCAAGGAGACGGGTGTCTGATGAAGGAAGGAAGGGGGTGGGGCTAGGGTAGCCCATGAGCCTCTCTCACCCGACGGATGGAGTTGACCGACTCGGTGATGTGCCGACGGTTAATCTCTGTCAGTTCCCTGTGCAGGAGGAGCAAGGCAGGATGGGCTCGATGCCCGGGCGCCCACCCTGCCTCCCCGGTACCCGAACGGCTCCCAGTCCCGAGGCCCTTACGCCTCCTTCTTGTGTTTCTCCCTCGTCTTGGCCTCCGAGATACTGTTGTGGCGCTTCCTGTCCAGGATCTTCTGCAGCTCCTTCTTCTCCCTGGAGAAGCCAGTGGGGGCAGAGCAGGGGTCAGCAGCAGGCCTGGGGACTCCGCCCTCCTCTGGTACCAGGGAGCCGCCTGCCCCACCACACAAGATCCTCTGCCTTCACCTCTCATTCATCTCCTTCAGCCGCTTCAACTGAGCGGCATGTGCTTCTAGGACGATCTCCCTGAGCCGCTGCTGAGCCTGTGGACACAAGTAGCCAACGGGTGATACAGGGCTGAGGCCAAGCGGACCCTCCCTCACCGCCACATGCCCCCCTCACCTGTCTCAGGTGCTCCAGCCTCCGCTCAGCCTCTGTGTCTGCCTGGGTCTCCTTCAGCTCCAGCAGACATTGCACTTGTCTGTTCTGGAACTCTTGGTACCGCTTCACCTCTTCCTCCTCCTTCATGTCCTCCATGTCAGCGGCCCCGCCCCTGTGGGGAGACCCCTCTGGACTGATGCTCAGGTCCACCGCCTGGACTTGGGCTGGGGGCGGGGAGTCGGGCACATCCCAGCAGCCAATGGCAGATGCCATCCTGGGGGACCAGGTCTGTTATGTAAACCAGGGGGCCCGTTAGCTCCGCCTGAATGATAGGAGCCTGTTTGGACAAAAAGCTCTTCATGGGGGACATCCAAAGAGGTGTCACTCCCTGGGGGCAGAGTGGACTCTGGTGCAGGAAGCCTCCTCCATCTTCCTTGCACCCCGCCCTCCCCCGGGGATCAAGGAGCAGCCCCTACCATCTCCCTGCCCACCTGGCGTGGGAACCCACGTGCACACACCCGTCACGTTCACATAAACGTTCTCGGCACACACAGCACACAGGCAGGCTGGACACTCACGGGACACCTGGCCGGTGGTGGCACCTGCTCTCAGCCCGGGCCTGGGCCAAGGCGTCTAGCATGCGGCGGGTGAGGGGCACGGCCTTCCGCTGATGCTTCTTGCGCAGCTCTCGCAGGTCTCGCTCGTGCCGGCTGCGGAGCTTCACTAGAGCCTTGTGGCTTCGGAGCTCGTCCAGCGGGGTGGCGGCCACCTCTGGGAGCAGCAGAGCAAAGGTGGGCAGGGTGGGCCAACCTGCAGCCCCACTCCCGCCAGGCGGCCGCACCCCATACCTGAGAGGATGCTGGCGATGAGGTCATCCCGCTGCCCTGGAGAGCAGAGGCCGCCTGTGAGAAGCTGGAGGAGAGGGTGGCACGAGCCACTCCCCTCAGCCCACCCCAGGCCCAGGCCGCATCCTACCTGGGCTGCTGACGGAGGTGCTGGTGGGGGAGGCGGCGGGGCCTGGGGGCCGGCGGGGGGAGGTGTCCAGGGGGCTAGGTGTGGGGGCCAGGGGAAGCTGAGACCCCAGCTGCTGAGACTGGCTCTCCTGGCACGTCTCTGGGCCAGCCTGAGCCTGTGGGGAGAAAGCAGAATGCCGTCCCCCCAGGGCCTCTGTGCTCCGCAACGTCCCAGGGCTCCCCAGCGCCCTGGTCAGCCAGTGTGGCTGCTGGACTCATCTTTAACACAGGGCTGTCTGGACACCCGCATGAAAAATGAGAGCTGTACAAAGTAAGCTTTTCTAAAACCCTGTTCCACATGGGGTGTGGGGACGACACTGTAATGCCAGGCCCATTGCATGCGCTCAAGAACTCCCAGATTGTTCTGGAAAGGCCTGAGCCAGCCCCGAGTCTCCTCCCCTCTCGGTGCCCCCCACCCTTGCCCACAGTTGCTCATCTTCCTTGTTGCTCAGCTCCTGATTAAATCAACGAAGGCAGCGACCGCAGAGTGGGCACCAGCCTCTCCCACTAACAGCTCTGAGCAGCCCTAATTGCAGTCATCTCTCCCCCGCCCGCCGCAGGCCCCGCAGGGACTGGGCCTGGCAATGCTGGTGAACCTCTACTCCTGACCCCTCCCTGCGGAAGCCAGTGCCCTCCGCATAGCTCCCAAGACCCCACATTTTAAAAGCTTCTGTGGCTTCACACCAGCCTAGTGAAGTGGCCAGGAATGCCTGTAGCCCGGCTTTGTGCTGCTTGCAGCTGGGGGAATTCTACCTAGGTCTGATCTGAAAGCCTCTCAAATGCAAACGGGTGGTTTCCATCGCCTCAAAATCCCAAGGCTGCTAAGCCTACTGAGTGAGAGAGACCAGAGCCCCTGCCCCTCACGGCATGGGGGTAAGGCTCAGCGCTGGCGGCACAGAGGCGTAGGGTCGAGGCCTGGGCCAGGCCATTTTTGGGCTGAGCGATCTTACACAAGCAACTCAGGGCCTGAGTGTGCCCATGGCTACACTGGTGATGGCAGCCCCAAACGGAGGGGGTCGGGGGATTAAATGAGCCAAGGAGGTGAAAAGGCGCACGCCAGGTCTGGCAGAAAGCTGGTGCTCAGCATTAGCTTGGTTTTATGTTCTGGTTTGGGTGGGACAAGAAACCAGAAAGGGGAACAGGCCCCCCAGCAGATGGCACGGGTGTGTGAACGCATGAGGCTGGGGTCTGCAGTGAGGCCCTGAACAGTCCAGCCCGGGGCCCGGTGGTGAGGTGGGGAGCCAGCTGGGACGGCGCAGCAGGGACTGCAGGGCCTCCCCCACCAGGGCTGGGCCCAGAGTCAGCCCGCACCCTCCACACCCACACCTACAGCGGTTGTGCCACCAGTCCCCAGGGTGACAGCGAGCCCGCCCTGCCCAGCCAGGCCTGCTCACAGCGCTGCAAGGCTCACCTCGCTCTCCCCAATGAGGGCAGCCAGCTGCGTGGCCCTCTGGTCCATCAGGCTGACGTGCTTAATGGGGTTGATCAGGGCCTCGGCGTAGTCTGTGGGGAGGCAGAGACAAGGGTCCCAGAAACAGAGCCCCCTGTGCCACACTGTCCCCGCGAGCTCTGTTCTCAATGAGGGACTGAAGAACCTGTGCTCAGGTCTGTTCACCCTGGACTGGGGCCACCTGGCTCAGCCACACCCAGGCCCTGGTGGCAGCATCGTCCCCCCACCTGCCCTGCCCTGCCCTGCCCACCCTCAGCTCACCCTGATGGTCATCAGGAATATAATCAGAGGCCTCCGTGTAGATGAGCAGGGCTGGCAGGCACAGCGGCTGGTTGGCCTCGTTCCGCAGGCAGACGTAGTGGTACCCTGGAGGGGGAGGAAGGCAGGGTCACTGGGCCCGGCCAGGTCCCCACACACCACCCGCCGTGCTGCCAAGAGTCGAGCAAGGCCTTACCTGAGCGGATGGCAGAGACAGGCAGGATGCGGTGCCCTACGAATTTGCCACCCTCCTCGAAGGCCGCGATGCGAAGTGAAGCCAGCGTGGGCAGCACCACCTGCGGGCCCACACTGGTGCTGAGCCATGGAGCTGACCCACTGCCACCATGGCCACTGCCACAGCTGACCACAGCCACCAAGGCCGAACACTCAGAGCAGACCCTCGGGTGAACTGACCAACAACTGACCGTCAGTCACCATCACCATTGAGCTGATTGCTGACCCGTGGATGACCAGCAGCCATCAGGGCCCTGAGCCAAGAGGACAGGCAGACAGACCCCCTCAGGGCCACCGTGGGCAGTTCTGGTCATTGCCAGCTTAGAAACTATAGAGTGAGCCGGGAGCCTGGACTGAGAACACCCCAGCCCAGGTCGGGGGCAGAGGCCCTGGCGCACAGGACCGTGAGAGGCCTGGAAGAGCCCGCGGGAGCCTGAGGTGATCTCGGGCCAGTCCCTCCTGCTGGGAGAAGGGCAGGCTGTGTCCACTCCTCACAGGGGCCTACAAGACGTCCTGCGGGAACCCCCTCCCATTCTGGGACATGCAGGGCCAGGGAGGTCCCTTGGTGCCCCCACTTCTTATCCTGGTCACCACCAGTGTGCCTGGGTCCCACTCCCCCATCTGAGCCTGGGCAGGTCTGGGCTGGATCTGCCTGCGCCAGGTGGGCAAGGGGCCAGGCTCACCTTGGGGAAGTCGAAGGGCTCCTCGTCCCACACAGGGTTGAACGAGTTCCCCTGAGAGGTCCGAGTGCGGTACTTGCGCCGCGTGTCCACGGGGAGACCAAAGAGGTCCACCTCCACGTAGATGCCCACCTTCCTGTCGGACAGGAACTGCCCTGAGATCACCTGGGGGGCAAAGAGGGTGAGGTGGCTGCTGAGATTCCTGTCCTCGGACATCCCAGCCTGAGCCTTCCGGGGCCTCACCTTGACCCGCAAGGCATTGGCCACGATGCCGTCCACGATGACCTCAGTGAAGGGGTCGAAGGACTTGTCTGGCCGCCGCATGAACTCGGGCTTGAGCAGGTACCCACTGCGCCCGTTATACTCGAATACACCCGCGTTGAGCTGCATCGCCACGTCTGGGAGTGCCAAGGGGAGGGCAAGAGTCAGGCAGGACAGTGCCATGGGGGGCAGCCAGGGGTCGTCAGGGGCCAGTGGAGTCCAAGGTCCAGGCTCGGGTGGGACCAAATGGCACCAGGGTTCAGATTCAGGAAAGATCAGACAGGTGAGGGGCTGGAGTCGGTCAAGGCTGGGAGCTGGGGTTAGCCAAGGTCTGGGTTAGGCCAGGGACCTGGGATCAGACAGGGCGAGAGGTCCGTTCAGGCAGGACTAGTAGGATCACAGGTCAGAAGTCAGTAAGATGGGGGGCCGGGCTCACCCAAGGTCTGGAAGTTGAGGGCAACGAGCTGGCAGCCCACGTTCCAGAAGAGCTGGGGCATGTAGTTGGAGGAGTCCACGCGGGTGCCCTTGGGGTAGATGCGGCTCAGCTGCTGCTTGTTGTATCTGAGGTTGGCGGTCAGGGGCCACGCGGGTGCCAGTACCCAGCCCTCTGCCGGCCTCCACCTCTGGCCAGGCCCTCCCCTCCCGTGACTCCCACCCCTTTTGGCCGGCCTCTGCTTCTCCCCTGGAGATTTTTCCGGACTTGCCCCGGCCTCAGGCAGGGGTGTGGCAGGGCCAGAACCCTGCGCAGGTGGCGAAAGTGGGAGCAGAACGTCTGAGCCGGCCTCTGAGCATCCCGCCCCGGCCTGCCTGCCCGCAGCACCTCGGAAGGATACTCCACAAACTCCATGGGGCTCTTGGTCAGCTGCTCCATGGCCTTGGTCTCCACGAAGGATGACATTTCAAAGCACTTGTTCCTCTCTGGGGAGTGGGCAGTGAGGGAGTCAGGCCCGGCAGGAGCCCGCAGGCCAGATCCCACCCCCACCACCCACCCCCACTCACTTCGAGCAGCCTCAAAGGACTTGAACTTGACAGGCTCAACATAGTTGACTAGCGTCGACATCTCCTCAGTGGCGTTGACCTCGCTGCTGGCTGTGCCCTGAGGCCCCAAACCCAGATCAACAGTGCTGTCCCCGGCACCAGCAAGAAGTCCCCTCGCCTGCCCCCTCGGGAGGGAGCTGCTGACCCTCTGCCAGCCCTGCGATCCCGCTACCTCGGCTCGGCCCGACAGCCTCCTCTCTGGGGCCCCTCTGACACATCCAGGACGACCCCTCCCCACCCAGTTCACCTGCTGCCTCCTGGCCGCTCCTCTCCTCCCTGGTTCTCAGACGCTGGAACCCCTCACCCAAGCCCAGGGGTTCAACTGCCCAAATGCACGTGAGCCCCAGATTTCCATTCCAGCCATTCGTTCCAATCACCTTGCCATCGCCTCCTGGTGGCTCAGGAGCCTGGAACCCTGCCCACAGCCTCTCCCACTCTGGGCCCCTCTCAAACCTGACCTCATAGGACAGCCGGATTGGCCTTTTCTGTGCCACTCCTCACAACTCCTCAACACTCCCCACGGCAACACTCCCTCGTCTTACCCTGGCCCTCCCTCCTGCACACTTTGGCTCTGCCACAGGGCCCTTGCACGTGCTGTTCCCACTTCCTCAGGCCTGCTTGTCCCAACCTCCTTGCCCAGGTCCCCATCCTCCCCCAGTTCTGCACCCCAACTCACCCCTCCCCAGCCCATATCATGAGCATAACCGTACACTTGTTTCCCTGCCTGTTTACCTAAGACCCCTCCTCCCAGCATCACACACAGACACTGAACCCCAGGAGGGCAGGGATGATGTCCATGGTCAGACCAGCACCCAGGGCCGTGCCAGAGCACAGTGGGTGCTAGCAACCGCTTGGGAGGGGAATACATGCTACCACCCCCACCTTCCCACCTGTGGGCCTGACCTCATCTGTGGTTGGCTTTTTAGGGTCTGTCTGCTCCTCCTCATCCTCATCTTCCTCCTCATCCTCACGGTCAGCAGGTCCAAAAGCATCGGGGCCCCGGTTCAGGCCCTCCTCACCCAGAGACTTCCGAGGCTCTAGGCTGAGCTTCTCCAGCCCTAGCTCCTCCCCGTTGCTCAGGCCTGGGCAGCTGTCTGAGCTGGGAGACCCTGCAGAGGACAGGGCCACCAGGGGTCAGGGGTCAAGACCACACACAGATGCTCAGGAAGCCCAGAAGGGTTATTCCCAGTGTGTGTGGAGGTGACTCAGTGGGGCAGTCAAGGGGTACTCTCAGGGCAGTGTGGCTTGGGGAGAGGTCAGACGGTATTAAACCCAGTGGGAGTTCAGAGGTCACAGGTGGAAGGTGAAGGTCTGGAGTTATATGGAGCAGGGAGGGAGACAGGGTGGCTCAGAGGGGTGAGAAATCAGGAAGTGAGCTATGGCAGCCTTAACAGTGGGGGTAAAGGATGACATGGTGGGGTTACAGGTCAGGGATCAGCCAGCCATAGCCAGTGAAGGGGCTTAGTGAAATCAGCAGTCAGGAATCAGGTGCAAGAGGGACCTCAATAAAGTGAGAGGTCAAAGTTTAGCTGAGATTATAACCAGCGTGGTAGGGGCCACAGGACGGGGTTGAGGTCTGAAGATCCCACCCAAAGTCGGGGATGTGGGTCACTGAGGTCATAAGTCAGAATTCGGAGCAGCAACCTGGTTGTGGGAGGCTCTGTGAGGCGGGACTGAGCGGTCAGGAGTCGGGGCATGGCTCAGTGAGCTGTGTGCCTGAGGTCAGGGGTCAGAGGTCCCTGAGAGGTGGTGAGTGGCTTAATGGGCGGGGCTGGGGGCGGGGCTGAGCCAGGTGGGAGGACTGGGTACCGAGCTGTGGGGAGGAGGGCTCCGTGGTGGCGGAGCTCTCGCTCAGGGCCGAGTTGCTCTGCTCCAGCGGCCGCTTGCGCACGGAGCTGCTGGGCGCGCCTGTGCTGGGCCGGTGCCGCTTCTTGTTCTTCACCAGGATGCGGCCCATCAGGTCCTGAGGGCTGGGCAGTGGGACGCCCGGGGCCAGCTGGGCAGGCCCGGGCAGGTCAGGGTCCACCGGGCACCCCCACCCCCACGTCCCCACCCCAGCTCCAGGCCCCCATACCGGATACTTGTCCAGTGGGTCGATGAGCAGTGCGTCCCCAAAGATGGAGCGGCAGTACTCGGCCATCTTGGCCTGCTGCTTTGCCCTGTGGGGCCAAGAGCAGAGGTCAGAGGTTGCTGGGGGGAGCTGGGGTCCATAGGGCAGGTCAGAGGTCACAGGGTCAGTGGAGAGTCCCAGGGTTGGAGGTCCCCAGAGCAATTCCACAGAGCCATGGTGGGAGTGCTGTCCCTGGGTCCATCGGGTCCCCGAGCCAGGGGCCACTCACGAGTCCACGTGGTTCTCAAAGGAGAGGATGACGGGGTAGGGCGAGGTCTTGAAGGCGGTCTCTGCGATGGCCTCAAGCACGTCACGCAGGGGCACCTCCGTGGTCATGGTGAAGCCGTGGGTAATGAAGGGCTCCTCCTCGGGTGGGCGCCCCTTCCACACATCCAACTCCACGCAGCGGCAGCCCCACAGCAGCGCCTGGCGGTACATCTCCACCGACGAGGTCCCCGCCAGCTGCCCCGCTGGGGGCGAGGCTCCGTCACCATGGCTGCCCGCCAGCCCAGCTCCACCCAGAACCAGGCCATGCTGGGGACGCAGGGGCCCCTGTGGCAGCCCAGTCCAGCCCCAACACACTCTGTCTAGCCAGCTCTAATCACTCTTTAATTCACCGTGGAATTTCCCCCAAAGTCCCCCAGGGCAGGCCATGTGCTGCCTCCAGCCCCCGGTGCCCACCCTAAGTGGGCACAGAGCAGGCATCTGCCAGTGCTCCGCTGGGTGGGTTCCTCCTCCAGGGCTCAGACTCTCTCAGATGAACACCCACCACCCACCAATCCCACCAGCCTGAACCGGGGGAGTCATCCCCACACCCACTATAGCTCCCCAGGACCCTGCTGATCTCTCCCTCTCCTCATGCCCTCTGCCACCTCTGCCCTGGCACAGCCTCCACCACCTCCCCGCGGAGGACCGGGGGCCCTCCCTGCCTCCAGTCCGATCTCCACAGAGCACCTGGGGTTGTCCTTCTAAAAACATACCGCGTCACATCACCTCCTCTGCTTCAGACCCTCCGCAAAGCCCTCCCTCCCTCTCAGGATAAACCCAAATGCCTTCCGTGCCCCCGGCACCCCTCTCACCGTGCGTCAGCCTACTCCCCATCCCGCCCTGGCCTCCTCTTCGCTCCTTCAAATCACCAAGCAGTCCTGCTCCAGGCCCCCCTGCAGGCCGCCCCTCCACGGCCAGCTGTCGCAGGCCCCAGCCCTTCCCCAGGGAAGCTTCCTGAGTACTGAGGCATGCCAGGAAGCCCTGCTCCTGGGGGTGGCTGGCTGCTCCCTGCCTGCTTACAGGCAAATGAGCTGAAACAATTGCGCCCCAAGAGGAAGGGGAGCAGGCCAGAGGGCAGAGGTCACAGGCACCACCCTCCCTGCGCTCACCTGTGAGATAGGTGTTGTGCGAGGAGTTGATGAAGTAGGCGCTCAGCGGCTGGGTCATGTCTGCACTCAGATCCAGGGCTTCCAGGGGCAAGATGCTGTTCTCCTCACCTCCCAGGTAGCGGCTGAAGCCCTCCATGGACATCTGGTCTGGGGTGGGGGAAGGCAGGGTCAGCTGGGGCACCTCCTGCCCACCTCTCCACCTGCACCCACGCTGCTGGCTTCGTACCTCGCTCCAGAAACTGCTGGTTGGGCTCATACTTCTCAATGAGCAGCCGGGCCTGGGAAGGCCGCAGAGGCGGGTACAGAACTTCGTTGAGTCTTGGGTCCCGTTGCTTCTGGTTGATAAAGTCCATGAGCTGCTCCAGGGTCATGTATGGCTTACCCTTGGAACCTCTGGAGGAGCCGGAAGCCAGGTCAGGCTGGAGCCTCAGCATCCCCCACCCCCATGCCAAGCCCTCACCTGGGTGAGGGCGTCGGAAGGCCTGCTCCTGGATCTGGCACCCACTGAGTAGGACTTGGGGCAAGTTATTGCCCTCTCTGGGCCTCAGTTTCCCCTGCACGGACAATGCTGGCTACTCGGCATTGTCAAAGCAGCAGACAGAAGTGGCACTGGTGTGAGCAAGGGCTTTGAAAGCTGCCAAGTGCTCGACCCATGACCCTGTGCTTCCAGACCCCAGACCCAATCTCAGCTCTAGCCCTCACTGGCTGTGTGAGGTCAGGCAGGTCCCACAGCACACCTGAGCCTCGGTTCTCATCAGCAGAGTGGGCTGATTAAACCAGCCCTGGCAAAAGGTTGGCCTAGCGCTCTCTGTAACAGCTGCCAGAAACAGTGGCTGTGAGCAAGAGCACATCGGTGACAGGCTCCCCACCCGCCACACCCAACCCTGTCACTCCGGGACCCAGCCACCAGGTCCCCTCCTCCTCACTGGGTTGCAAGGCATACTGAGCAGAGGCCGGACAGGGGGCATGAGGGCTGGGAGGGGCCCAGCCCTGCTCACATCTCCAGTAGGATCTTGTCAATGTCTGGCCGAAGACACAACTTGTTAAGGAACCGCTCGAAGATTTCCAAGGAAAACTCATCGGGCCGGATGGACTCACTCTAGGGGCCAAGGAGAGTGGGGTGAGACCCCAGGAGCAGGAAGCCCCAGAAGGACGGGTGCCCGCCACGACGCCCCACCCGCCCCTGCCCCCACCCCACACACCCGGTTGAAATTGAGGCCACAGGATTCCAGCGCCGTCTCCACCCGCTTCTTGTCAGCTGAGAACATCTTCAGGATGCTGATGCAGGCGAGGGGGCAGGGTCATTGGAGGGGCAAAGGCCACCAAGGTCGGGGCAGTAGAGAAGGTGCTGAGGGGAAGGGGTGCTCACTTCTTGACCGGGATCCGTCCGTCCTGGTTCACTTGTAGCTTCAGCTTTGTGTATCTGGGAAGGCAGGTGAAGGGGTCACGCCCTGGGAACTGCCACCTGAACCCCCGACGCCCCACCAAGGGCGGCCCGGGGCTCACGCTTTGCGCAGAAAGGTGTTCCGGGAGGCGTTCTGAGCCAGGATGTTCATAGCTAGCTTGAATAGCTCCTCGGACCAGACCTGGGGGGTGGCACACATGGGGAGGCGGTGAGTGGGACACGGAGCAGGCTGGCCTGGCCATAGCCCAAGCCCAGACCTGGGTCTGATACACAGTAAGTCAGAGAGCAGCCCGGTACACGACAGATGCTCAGTAAGTGATGGCCGATTGAGCAAATGAGGCAGAGACCCCTGGCTGTCTCCTGGGCCCCAGCCCACCTTGGCCGTGTCGTCCTGCACAGCCATGAAGTTCAAGAATACTGTGTTCACTGGGTCTGGCCCAGCCACCACTGTCATCAGCTTCTCCTCCAGCCGGGCATCAGGGCCCCCAAAGCCTAGCACTTCTCGGATCTTGGGGTCCTGCATAGGTGAGAGCCAAGAATTAGGAGGGGCGTCCAAGTCCCCATGCCATGATCTGGTCTTTAGACTTGGGCCCCATCACTCACCTTGGGCAGGCGGGCATAACGACCCGTCCGAGTGTCCCTGATGGAACTGATGTCCAGTGTATCTACCTCCTGGGGAAACCAGATGCTGGGGTGGGTCTGAGAGGCTGCAGGCTGAGAGCCGGGAGCCCCCAAGCTCCCCACCCAGGCCAAGGAGTGGCCACCCCCTGGCTACAGCCCCAGCCTCAGCCCCTGTCCTTAGCACTTCCTATGTGGGAAGCCGTGGGAGAGGTCGGCCAGCAGCTGGGCCCCATGGGCAGGGCAGGGGTGTGGAGCAGGCACGTGGGGCAGGGCCCTTGGCCTGAGCAAGCTGCACCAGCGCCTGCCCTCACCATGTTGGGTCCCGTCCAGTACAAGAAGAAGCCATTGGAGTCTACACGCAGGGTCACCAGGTTCCGACTGGAGGTCTCCTGGGGACAGCACAGAATAGCTGGGGTCAGGGAGTAAGGGCTACAGCCCAGGCTTGGGCCTGGGACCCCTTCGGTCATCCACCCAGTGTTCCTGCCAGTAAACTAAGACAAAGCCTTATCCAGCCCCCCGGTCTTCCGCAGCTGCCTACAGCCCTCAGGACAAAGCCAACGCCCTCAGCGTGACATTCAGCGCCCACAAGTTCTGGTCCCAATGCCTCTCCCAGCCTCACCTCCCACTCGCCTAAGATGCTGCCACATGGGCGACTACCTACCCTCTCCCCATCTCCCAGCTCTTGCCTCACTGTCCCCTTTGCTAGGATGTCCTTTCCTTCCTTCTCTACCCACGAAATCTGACCCACCTCCAGGGAAGCCTCCCTGACCCCCACCCTGGGCTCAGTTTCCCCAGAAGCTCCGTGATGGTTGGAGCCCCCGATAGCCACCTAGTTAGCCCACTGTAAAATGTTTATGGGATGAAAGCACAGGGTTCAGAAGTCTGACCCCCACAGCCCTTCTGCATCCCTTGGTACACCATGATGACTGGCCACCTCTCAGTCTGCCCCAAGGTCCATTGTCACCATCCTGCACCTCCTGGGATCCTCCCGTCCTCAAGACTCAGCCCCACCTCACAGAGGCACAGAGGCCCTCAGCAGGGACTCCCCCTGGCCTCGGGACTGGGCAGCAAGCTCTGTCCTCCTCAAACAGCCTTGCAGCTGGCAGGGGCAGGGAAGTGTGTGCCAGCCCCATTTTCTGAGGAGAGTCCAGTCCCTGGCACACTCCCAGGGCCACCCCTGTGACTTGGGAAGCAGCCAGAGGGGGTGTGAAGGGCTTAGACTAGGCCAGGGCATGAGTAACCAGGTGACCACAGGTAGAATTCTCCTGCCTCAGGCTCCCCCAGCCAGAAGAGGACCCCACCTCATCCTGAGTGCCACCCCCAAAGTGCTACTGTCTGGTAGACAATACCGTCATCATTAATACAACAGCTCACACATACGCACGCTGCCCTACTGTGTGCCAGGTACAGTTCCAGGCACATAACATGTGTGAGCCCACTTAGGCCTCCTAACAACCCTACAAGGTACGTGTTGTCGTCATGCCCATTTTACAGATGAGCAAAGTGAGCATGCTCCGTAGCTTGCCCAAGGTCAAGAAGAGGAGCCAGGACTTGCACGCAGGCAGTGTGGGTCCTGTGACCTGGGAAGTGGGGAAGCAAGACTCCTGCTAGCCTCCCGGCTCCTGGCCTCAGCCACACCCCACTGTGCGGCCAGGGTAAGTCTCTACTTTCTAGACCTCAGTTTCCTCTTCTGGAGAATGGGGATTGCACCGGCCCCACCCATTGCAGGTTTTGCTTACAAAGGATGGGAGTTGATCGGGAATAGAAGGGACAGGAAGCCCCAAGTCCCACTTCAGTGTGCTGATGCCCATCCCCAGACCCTCTGGTATTCCCCACCCTGCCCTGAGTCTGAGGCCCCCCAAGAGTCAGAGGAGGGGGGAGTTCTGTGAGTACTGCCCCCAGGGCCCCTCCCTCCCCAGGGGCCTGGCCTTCAAAAGCAGCCCAGGCCCCTCTCTCCAGCCCCAAGCCTTTGTCAGCACCCCCACCCCACCCCAGGGCCCTCTCCCTGTTCCCACTTCCTTATTTGGGTTTATCACGCTCAAAGGAAAAGAAGAAACTTTTCCCTTCAGGGCGGCCTGTGGGGAGGGGTCTCCCCTGGCCCCTGGGGCGCCCAGGCACCCCTCTTCACACACCTGCCACTTCAGGCCACGCCCCCAGCCCCTCCCCCAGCTCCCACGCCTACCCGCCCCACCCAGCCGGAAAGGAGCCCAGAGTCTTCCAGGCCTGTGGCCTGACTGGGAAGGAGCTGCGAGGAAGCTCTGGCAGGCCTGGTGGAGGCCCCGGGGAAGGAGGGGCCCAGGGGGCAGAGGAGGGGGACAGGACAGGCGTGGGTAGCCGCAGGTGAGGGCCCCAGCATCTGGGATACACCAGAGTCAGAAGAGGTAGAAAGGGGGGGCACAGGATTTATTGGGGTTCAAAGTCCTGGGCTAAGGAGTGGGGAGCAAAGTTCCCAGCGATGGAGGAACTTGGGGGGCAAAGTCTCCACTAGGGTGTGAGTTGCTGCTCCCCACCTGAGCAAGGAGCTGGGCTGGGATTCAGAAGCAGGGTGAAGGGGTGCAGCCAGAACAGGGTGAGAAAGTGATGAATGGAAGAGGATTGTTCGAGCTGGAGCGCCGGCGAGAGCAGGGTCCCAGAGGCGCCCACCCAGAATGAGGATGCCCTGAGCCAGACTGGCGGTCGGGGTCCTCCAACCAAGGAGCGCAGTGCGGGGCAGGGGTCTGCGGACCAGGCCAGAATCGGAGAACCAGAATTAGCCTGGCAGGGAGTGGTGTGAGGGGCGAGTGCGAAAAGGGGGGAGCGGGATTTATTGGGGTTCAAAGTCTCCGCGCCAAGGAGTGGAGAGCCAAATTTTCCAGAGCTGAGGAATTGGGGAGGACAAAGTCTTCATTACCGGGAGCACTGGGGACTCAAGTTTCCGGAGTGCGGCCAGGCTGGGATGGGGGCCGCCATGGTCAGGCGAGGCTGGGGTGAGGGTCCCCGGCGTCTAGTCGAGCTTGATTGAGGAGTCCCCGGATCCGGGCGGAGCACGGGCCGCCGCGCTTACCTCGTCCCATTTGATGAACTTACTCCCGCGCCGCAGGGTCTCCACTACGGTGGGCGGCTCCAGCTGCAGCGTGTGGACACCCGGCCTGGCGCCCGCCATTGCCGGGCCAGGGGCGGGTCAGGGACCCACGGAGCCCCGACGGGGACCGACGGCGCCGCTGCTCCCTCCGCGCGCTCCCGCGCGGCCCGCTCCGGCCCCCCGGCGTCAGCGCCCGCCGGCCAGTCTGTCCCGGACCGACCAGAGACTCGGCGGGGCCCGGGCGGGGCGGGGCCCGGGCGGGGCGGCGGGCAGCCCCGCCCCCTCCCACCGCGTCGGGCCCGCCCGCCCCGCGTCGGCTCCCCCTGGCGGCCGGGGCGGCGACTGCAGCCGGGGGGATTGGGACAGGGGTACCTGGACGAGTAGGGGGCTTTGCAGAAGGTCCAGCAGCACCTGATTCTTCGGGCCTGGGGTGGAGGGAGGGCGCTGGGGCCGGGGGTGTTGTGGGGGTGCAGCTGGAGGGACTGCGTGTAGAGTGCGCTGCTTAAGGCGGACCGGGGTCAGCTCGCTGAGATTTCTGAGAGACTGGGTCTGGGGTACTAGTGGAGGGCAGAACTCGAGCAGGGGGTCGCAAAGCCTGTGCCCCACCCCGCTACTGTCGCACTAGATGAGTACAGGAAAGGCCACTCCCACCCCCCATCTGCCCTCACTTCGCCTCACAGTCTCTGGCAGCAGCGCTGTCCCCCTCCCTGGGAGCACTTAGCAGGCTAATGGGCCTCCCGCCGGCAGGCGCCCCTCCCCCGTCCCCAGCCCTGGGAGGCCGTGCGCCTGCTACCTCCTTTGAGGACCCAGGCATGCTGCCCTTCCAGAGCGGGCTCTAGAACAGCCCACTTCTTGTGCCGGAGACCCTCATGACTGGAGCCTGTCTATGTGAGCCTCTTGGCTGAAAACTGCCCAGGGAACGCTGGTTGTCTGCCCAGAGGGGTCAGAAGCCTCGTGGGTGTCCCCAAAGGAGAAGGGTTGAGGAGGGGCTCTGCGGTGCCTGGCCCACAGCAGGTGCCCTGAAATCTGTTCCAGGGATGGGAGGAGGGGAAGGCGCATGGGCACTGGGATGGGTGGGGGCTGCAGCCCCTCCCGCAGGGCTTGGCTGGGGGGGGTTCCTGCCTGGGGGCCCCTGTGGGAGCCCCCCCAATACAGAGGCAGTAGCAGCAGCAAGTTTAAAGTAGAACTCATCCAGAGGGGCCAGCCAAGTCACCTAGAAACCCAGAAAGAGATGGAGCCGGTTCTGGGGGAGGAGGGTCAGGCAAGGAGGAGCTGCCCTGCAGGCCCCTTTGCCCCAGGCTCTCAGACCCCTAGAGGGATCCCTGCCAGGCCCTGGCCTTCCTCCAAATCCCCACCCACCGTGTTTGCCACCAACTCTAACCTAGTGAATCTCCTTGCCTTTGGCGGTGGCCCTGTGGGGTGTGATTATTATCTCCACTTGGGGCCCAGAGAGGGGAAAGGGACTTGCCCAAGGTCACACAGAGTTGTAGGAGGATTTCAACCCTCCAACTTCCTGCCTCCACTCCCTGCCCTTGAGGAGACGAAAAAAAGGGGACAGGACTTATGATCATCTGATCCTCGTCCTCTCCCACCAGGCCACAGAGCCATACTCCTCAGAAACCCAGGGACCCCCAAACCTTATTGGGAGAATAGAGCCCTGCAGGGCAGAGATTGGCCTCTGCTCCCACAGGCCTGGGTTCAAGTCCAGCTCTTGCTAGCGGCAGAACCTAGTCCCTCTGTGCCTCAGTCACCTTGTCCAGAAGTTAGAGGTTATCAGAGAATAAATAAGCAAATGGGTGGGAGATGCCACTCTCTCTTCAGGCAGCTGGATATCTGAGTGCATGTGGGCACATTAGGGAGGAAGGAAAAAAGGGCATAGTTCAGCTCTGGGGCAGGGGACCCTGCCAGCCTGTGCAAGGGCTAGCAGAGCCTGGAGTCAGGGCCTGAGCTTAGGGGGTCTGCGGGCAGGGGTATTTCACAGAAGCATTGGGCAGCAGGCTGTTGGGAAAAAAACAGGATGGAAGCCTGTTTCCTGGGCCAGAGCCTCTTCTCCTCACCACCCTTGTGTCTCCAGAGGCAAGAGCAGTCCCCATTAGAGGGCTCCTTCCTTCTCACTTTCTTCCAGCCTTAGTAATGGAAATAGGGTTTCTCAGCAAGCAGTAATGGTGGAAAGAAGACTGTCTTTCCGGCCTCTACGCTTGATTGAGGGAGCAGTCTTGGCCCATAGGACCCTCCCCAGGGCCTTTGCTTCAGGGATGCACTCTCGTGGAGGCGGGGTGAGACCTGGGAGGGGTGAGGGTGGGAGGGCACAGCACAGCCCCAGGCTGAGAGGATGAGGAATAAGCACACTCCAGTCAAGAAGGGCTCAGGCAGGAGGTCTCTGGCTGGGCACAGGCCCCAGAGCACTGAGCTGTTTCCCCTAGCCACGGGGAGGTCAGGATCATCAGCCTCCGGGAAGAGGCTCAGGGCAGGTGAGTGACTTCCCCACAGCCTCTCAGCCTACTGGGCAGGGCCAGGACTTGAACCCAGTTCTCCCACTCCAAGGTTAAGGTCCTGTGCAGGGCAGCTGAGCCTCCAGGAAGGCTGCAAGTCAGCATGCCCATCTGCACCAACTGTTCTCGGGCTGGGTGGCCATGGGAAGGGATGGAATGGACAGGAATTTGGGTGTGCCGTGGGAGTGGAGGAGGTGGAGAGAGGAAGAGTCAGGAAGAACACCCTGCCCAGAGAACTCTCAGAGGGGTACCCTGACATTTGGACATGACTGGAGACCTTTACACCAACCCTGAGGGGAGGAGGGACAGGAAGATCCAGATCAGAGTCAGGGTCATGGCATCTTGGAGGCAGAGCTGGGACTGGAGGTCTTCGTGGCCTGCAGGCCCCACTCCCACAGCAGTTGCTGGGCATTAGGGGCTGTTGAGTGTGAGTGTGTGTCCCCTCTAATCCCAAGGCCCAAATGAATGCTCGGGTTCAGAGAGAGCTGACCTGCCCTTTGGACCTGTGTAAAGTGAACCTCCCATGAAGCCAGGCTTGGAGCAGGAGGACAGGGCTCCTAGTGGAGAGGGTGGGTCCTGCCTAATCACAAAAGCAAGGGTCAGCCGTTCCCTGGCCCCCAGGCTGGCTGAAGGAAGGCTAAGGCCAGAGGAGGGGCCAGAGAGGGAGGAGGCATCAGCTCACTCTACCCTCTCCTGGACTGGGCCCTGTGAGCCCCCCTCCCACCCCTCATTCCCAGCCTCTGTCTTCTCTTCGATTCTTCTCCCCACTGTAGGGTAAAGGAGGAGCCTAAAGTCCTGGGTTCAAGTGTGGATGCAGCACCACCTGTGCCACCCTGGGACAATCCCAACCCTTCTCTGACCCCACCTGCTACAGATGGCTTCTCCCTCCAGCATCAAAAGAGAGGGTGTCTGTGAGAGGCTGGAAAAGAAGCACTGCCTCTCAGATCCTGAGACCCTGTTTGGAACACGTAAGCCTGCTGTCCATGGACACATCCCAGGGAAAGCTGCACAACCTTGCTGGGTGGTGTCCACGGGAGGTGGGGGGATGAGTAAAGACTTTGTGTCAGGGGTTTGAGTCACACAGCCTGGCTTCAAAATCTCAGCTCCCCTTTTATCTAGCCATGTGACTTAATTAACCTCTGTGGTGTAGTAATTGAACTTTCCACGCATTTTCCTGTTTAATCTCTGCCACAACCTTCTGCGGAAACAGAGGCACAGAGGAAGCCATTGACTCTTTCTTTCAGTCATTTGTTCAATCAACCCAGCAACCGACTATGAGCCTGACATAGTTCTAGGTGGTGGGTTCAGCAGGCACCAGGTAATTTGCCCAGTACAGGTGGGTTTGAAGACCAGGCAGACTCAAGCCTGGGCATCAGCAGCAAACAAGGTTCACACAAGTCTCTGCCCCATGGAGCTCACAATCTAGAAGCAGGAGACAGACAATAAACAATGAATGAGAAAATTTAAAGATGCAGAAAATCAAATAGGGTGAGGGAATGGGATGCACAGTCGGCTTAAGAGAGGTGAGCCAGTGTGGTACGAAGGACAGAGGAGCTGCAGGGCGAGGATCTGTGGGAGATCCAGTGAGTGCGGTGTCCTCGAGGTGGAACCGACTGGGTGGGGGTCCCAATAAACGCTCATTATGGGCCAGCTGTTATTATCACCTTTATTATAAGGAGTCCCGGGTCCCCCACTTCCCAGATGTTTGTACACACACCAGTTGCGGGGCGCGGAGGGCCGCATCCAGTGGTGGCAACCCTTGGGATGGTGCCCCAACAAGTTTGCGCTTCCGGGCTCGGGCTCCGCCGTGGGGGAGGGGCAGCCATGCGGGGCCGGACCCACGAACTACATTTCCCACAATCCCGCTCCCCGCGCCATCTTGGCCAGTGGGCGGTGGCTACCTCGGGTCTGGCCCTTCAGGCCGGCTGGCTGGCTCTGCTTTACCCCCAACTCGTGGGGGGCGTGGGACCCCACCAGCTAGGGCGTCTGGAGACCTGGGCAGCTCCTGCCCGCCTTTTGCACTCCTCCATCCCCGGGAGTCTAGTCCACGTGCTGGTCCGCGCGGAGAAGCCCGTTCGCCCCTTGCTGACCAAGGGGGGGAGGATCCAGACATCGGGGGGCCCCCATGGGTCCTCGCCAGACCCTCTCCCTACATGTAGTGTCCACTCGCCTCCATTCTCAGATGGCTCCTATTCCTGCCTCAATGAAGACAGAATGAGGAAGGGTCTAATGAGCACTAGGCTGCAGGTGGGAGCGCAAATTCTGGTACTGGGAGCTTAGAACGCCTGGGTTCGGGGCTGGAAGGTTATTTAGGGGGTTGCGGACTGCCAGGCCCAAATCCCTGCGGACTAGATCCCCTCCTAGTCCTTGCTTGGGGGCGGGGTGGGGGTGAGGGACCCGCAGCGGGGCTGGCCCTTTAAGGGGGTGTGGTCGGGGGGCGGAGGAAGAGAGCGAGACAGAGAAAGCGGCTTCGGTGGCGGCGGCTCGGGCGGCGGCCGCGGGGGACAAAGGGCGGGCGGATCGGCGGGGAGGGGGCGGGGCGCGGCTAGGCCAGGCCCGGGGGCTCCGCATGCTGCAGCTGCCCCCGGGCGCCCCCGCCGCCGCCCTCGCCGCGGAGCCGCGCGGAGCCGAGCCCCCGAGCTAACCCGAGCCAGCCGCCCGGAGCTAGCCGGCGGGCGTCCCGGAGGCGGCGGCGCAGGGAGGGGCCCGACGCGCGCACGTGGCCCCGGCGGCCGCCATGGCGGACAGCGGCCCTGTGGGGGGCGCGGCGTTGGCGGCCCCTGCCCCCGGGCCGGGCAGTGGCGGCCCAGGGCCCCGCGTGTACTTTCAGAGCCCTCCTGGGGCTGCAGGTGAGGGCCCAGGCGGTGCGGACGATGAGGGCCCAGTGAGGCGCCAAGGGAAGGTCACCGTCAAGTACGACCGCAAAGAGCTACGGAAGCGCCTCAACCTGGAGGAGTGGATTCTGGAGCAGCTCACGCGCCTCTACGACTGCCAGGTGTGTTTCTCACCCAGCGCCGACACCCTAAAATTGGTCCCGAGTCGGTCCGCCCGGGAACCCCACTGTGAGCCCTCCTGTCACCGGAGTCAATGGGCGCTCCGCTTCTGCGCGCTCCCCTCTGCACTACCCGCCCCCAATGTATGCTCTTTCTTGTCTGACCTAAGTCACTTTTATCTTTTTCACTGCCGCAGACCCTGTTTCCCTCATGTCACTCCCCAAGTCAGTCTTGGTGTCCTCCAGAAGTGTCTAGGGATAGTCTGGGCCTTGGGCAGGAGGCAGGGGGCTAGCCTGGGCTGGCAATGAAAGGAGGTCTAACCTGCCTAGTGCCAGCGAGCTTAGACCTTGGTTAGAAGGCGCTAGTGTAGTTGGTGGGGGCTGTAAAGGGTCGCGGCTGTTCTAATGAGCTAGCCCGAAGTTCCATCTTATCATGCGGGCAGGCTAGCCCGCTCTCTGGGCTCCGGTTCTCCACCCCATGACTCCCTGGTTGCTCAGATGGTGACTCAGGCCCCGGGGGGCAGGGTGGAAGAGTGGGCTTGCCCTGTGCTGCCTATCCTAGCCCAGCCCTGGAATGCAGCTGGCTCCAAACAGGGTAGCAGCGTCCCCGGGGGGCGGGGTGATGGGCACCCCCTCCCTCACCAAAGCATGGGCTCTTTGTTTCCCCTTTACCAGGCCTGGGTCCTTCCCACTGACCCCTCACCCTTTACTTCCTCCTCACTCTTGGGAAGCTGTGACAGGTGTTTGGGGGAGGGGTGGGGGGTGTGATGAGCTAGGACAGCTGGCCTCACCAGTGCTCATCTCACTGGTGAGATGGGGGGCCCGGATGTTGGGGAGACACATCTGCTGGGTTCCCAGCCCAAGGTCCCCAGTCCTGGCCGTCTGGCCTTGTCTGGCACCCTGGGTGCCCACAGGCAGTGACAGGAAGCTCCCCCCACACTGGGCAATTTGCCTTGGCACGAGCCTGATCTGTTTTCTTCCTCAGAGCAGCTGCCGTTGTCTGCTGGGCAAAGAGGGCTGGGCTCGTCCTGAGGTGGTAGGCAGGGACCTCAACCCAAGAGCCGCTCTCCCACCCTCTCTCCCAACTCAGGCCCTTGTCGCTCCCTCTTCCCCCTCCCCCACCCCAGGAAGAGGAGATCCCAGAGCTGGAGATTGATGTGGATGAGCTCCTGGACATGGAAAGTGACGATACCCGGGCTGCCAGGGTCAAAGTAAGAGGGGCTGAGGGGGTACCTTGGTTGCAGGGCTGCCTGGAGGCAATGCCCTTGGGAAGCAAGGCTGTAGAGCCTGGCCTTTGGTCTGCATCAGCCAGCTCTGTGACCATGAGCCTCAGTTTCTGCCCCTGACAAATGGGGCTAATGCTACTTACCTAGCCATGTGGCTGTGGCATCTCCTGTGCCTTAGGGTGGCCCCAGTCCCTTGGAAGTGGGTATAGGTAAACTCTAGTGAGTCCCTGAGAATTCACTGTGTACTCATCCCTCCTCCCCCTCCCCCCATGCCCCACTAGGAGCTGCTGGTTGACTGTTACAAACCCACTGAGGTAAGTGGTTCCCCCAGAGGGTGGGGTAGGGGAGCCCAGGCTCCTGTCATCTTGGGGTCTGGTCTCCCTAACATCCACCCTCCTGTCCAGGCCTTCATCTCTGGCCTGCTGGACAAGATCCGGGGCATGCAGAAGCTGAGCACACCCCAGAAGAAGTAAGGGTCCCCGACCCAGGTGAACGGTGGCTTCCACAGGACAATCGCAGCCCCCCAACCTCGTAGCAACAGCAATACCGGGGACCCTGCGGCCAGGCCTGGTGCCATGAGCCGGGCTCCTCGTGCCCCTGGCCCAGGGGCCTCTTCCCCCGCACCCTCAGTTTTCCATTTTTGGGGTTTTTTATTGTTATTAAACTGATGGGACTTTTTGTGTTTTTATATTGACTCTGCGGCGCGGGCCCTTTAATAAAGCTAGGATTTGCCTTTGGTGCAGCTAACAGGCTTGGCTGGTCTCTTTTAGGGGGGACACACTGCTCTACAACTGCTGCCAGCTCAGCTTCTCCCCAGGTGACCGCAGGCCTTCCTGAGGGCCACGTAGTCATGGCGATAGCCCAGTGCTGGCTCCCAGACCAGGAGCTGGAAGAAGCTGGGGAGCTGTGGGGGAGGGAAGAGCAGTGTTGCTGTTGGCAGGCAGGAAAACTCCTTCTCTCTGGGCAAGGGCCACCATGCTATTGAGCCTAGACCCCCAAGGCTCTGCAGTCAGGAAACGAGAAGCGGGTGAGAGGTGTGCCAAGGGAGAGGGAAAGCAGGAGCTCCAGTCTGAGTCTCAGGGCCCACAAACACACACAGGCTCATTCCATGGGCTTTTAAGAGTTTTGTTTTTCGAACAGTCTGGTCCCTGATGGGTGCCTCTCCCCCCTTGCCCCTCCCCAGTCTGGCTACAGTTCTGAACGTCGTTCGATTTTGAGCAGCTCCACCTCGAACACCAGCGTTGCACCACCTGTGGGGGAGAAGTGAAGTCAGAATACGAACCAGGGCCACAGGGAGAGGGGATGGCTGTGGAAGGTGGGGGGCAAGAAGGTATAACATTACCTGGAATCTTTGGGGGAGCTCCCCGCTCTCCATACCCTGTTGAAAATACATGAAGAAACAGTCAGCTATGGCCAGGCTCCCTTCCAGCTCAGGCGGGGAGGGTGGGGAGTGTTTTACAGGCAGCCAAGCTTCTGTCCCCCTCGGCAAGAAGGCCAGAAATGGAGAAGGTGTAATGGAGATGGGAAGGTGATGCCAAAGGCCTGGTAGAGGGCAGAGGGTGGGCACTACAGCCGAGTGCCCCAAAGGTCTTGCCCTGTCCTCACTGCTTGGCATCGTCAGACTTGGAAGACACAGGTATTGTGATAAATGGATAGGGTGGAGGCCAATATGAGGCTGAAGCAGCCCTTCACCCTTCCCAATCACAGCCGAGCCCCTACACACTTCCGGCAAGGCCTCTTACCCAGCTCTGATGGGATCACCAGCTTCCGCTTTTCCCCCTCACACATCCTGCAGGATAACACATGCTCAGCAAGTGGCAGCACCCAGGCTCCCTGCCCCTGCCCTGCCCTGCCCTGCTTGCCTACCACAGCTCACCTCCTGGACCATGGCCATGCACATCCCACCCACCCCACCCCAGCCCCAGACTCACCCCAGCAGCCCCTGGTCCCAGCCCTTGATGACCTGGCCTGTGCCCAGGGAGAAGACAAAGGGCTGGTTCTGGGGCAGGCTGCTGTCAAACTCCGTCCCATCTTCCAGCTTCCCCTGTGGGACCACAGGAAGGCCAGTGAGGAGGAGAGGACCACCCCAACCCCCCTCAGTTGCTCTCCCCAACAAGCTGGCCCCCATAGCACTGGTGGTCATAGTCCTTGAAGGGGACAGAGCCTTGGGCAGCTCAGAGTACATTGTCACTGCCTGCTGATGCCCACCTGAAGAGTAGACAGTGAAAGGCAAGGTGGAAGCATGGAAATTGGCGTAGAGAGAGGGGAATGGCCCAAGGTCACCCACCTGGTTGGTGGAGGAACCAGACTTCCAAGTCCTTTCTGGTCGCCAGAAGCCCCACCCACTTCCCAAAGCTCCACCCCCATCACTCACCGTGTAGTGCATGTGCAGAACATCCCCTTTTCTAGATTTGATGGGACAGTGGTCCACCCGCTTCTTGACCCCAATCTGCAGCTTCCGTTTGCCTTCTGCCCCCGTAGCCGTGGCCAGGGCACTCAGGCAGATGGACAGTACTGTCAGGACCCAGCTCAGCCTCATGTCTCTGCAGGCACAGACCCCAACGCACCGACTGACCAGGAGGAGGGTAGGGAAGGCATGGAACGCGGGCAGGTACCACCGTACCTTGCCTGCCCCTGGGGATCCCCTCTTCCCAGGTCACCGCCCTCTCCCCTGGGCTCCACGGCCACACTTACCAGTCCAGAGAGAAGGGGGCTTGGCCGAGGACCCCAGCAGCGGGGGTAGGGGGTCAGGGGAGGCCACAGCCGCCAGGGCCCCGCCCCTTTACTCACCCCCAGACCTTCCCTCCCTCCCGGTTCCCACCTCCCCTCTTCAGTTCCCACCTGTTCCTTTACGCAAAGTCCAGACCCTATCTGACTGCGCAGCAGTTGCCCCGACTGGGCGGCCCCATTCACGCCACACCCAGCTGCCCCCGGCCCAGCACACCTCTGCGGCCGCTGCAGGGGATCGGCTCCGAGGCACCCACACATCCCCGCTGGGTGGCTCCGAAGAGCCTGGGTCCTCTGGAGGTACCCCCCAGCCCGGCCCTGTGCCTCCGCCCGGGGCGCCGCCCCAGCTCTGAGCCCTCGGGGGTCTCCGGGGCACCCAGACCGGCCCTGTGTCTGCTGGCCGCCGAGCACGCTCCACCCATACCACCTCTCCGGGAGGAGTTCTCGGCCTACCGCGTCCCCAGGCCCGGCCACCACGGAGGCCGCCCCCGCGTGGACGCCCCGGGCCATTACTTGGGCTTAGCTCTTCGCTTAGCTCCTTGGCTCCGCCCTTTAGTGCGCGTGGTTCCGCCCCTGGCCCTGCAGTCCCGCCCCCGACAGAGCTAGACCCCTCTTCCGGAACCGTAGCCACGCCACTCACCGGCTGAGGGCCGGCCCCCAGCGCCTCAGCTCCGTCCCCTTCTGGCGCCAAACCCGAGACTCCGCCTTCCACCTGCTCCAGCTCCTCCTTCTCGGGCCAGGCTCCGCCCCGCAACCCTTCTAGCCCCGCCCGCAGCCGCCGGGCTCCGCCTTCCACTAGCACCGGCTCGGAGGTCCCACCCGTCTCTGTTCCTCGTCCCACCCCGAATCCCAGGGCTCCGCCCCGTGCGGCGTGAGAACCCTCCCCCTGCGGCATCTCCAGACAGCTCCGACCCCCACCGCCAATTTCCTCGTCACCTAGCTCTCGTTGACACTCGGAGCCCCGGCCCGCTTCTGCCCGGTCTGATCCAGCCTGCCCCCTTGCACCCCGGGTCCCCCTAGCCCGGGCTGTGGCCCCCTCTCACCTCCTCGCCGCGCCCCCGGAGTCAACCCCGATCGAGCTGCCGCCTCTGCGCAGGCGCGTCCTCGTCGCTACCAGGCCGGGCCACGCCGCCCTCCCTCATTGGACCGTGCAAAACCCACCGCTACACGCCCGCTGGCGCGGCTTCTTCCCTGGTTCCGCCTTCCGCGCTGCCACGTGACTTGCGTCACTTCCGGCGGAGAGGTAGTGTGTAAGGGTGACGTCCGAAAGGGCCGAAGGTACTTCCGGCCGAAATGATATTAAGGTCGGGTGGGCGCAGGTTCTCGGAGGTGGTTTTGAGGCGGCATTTTCCGTTGTTTCCCTCCTCTCCCACAGAGCTCTGGCTGGCCCCTGGCCTCCTCATGGCCCACAGTCCCCAGGGACCTGCTGTGGGAAGAGCCTGGGCTTCACGGAGAGACCTCGGTTTGAATTCCAGGTTTGCCACTAATTGGTTGTGTGACCTTGGTGGAATTTGTCCAACACGGATTTGGCAACACCCACCCCACAGGGCCCCAGTAGGACCGAGACGATGTGCGGCGCCAGGCCCTGGCCTACAGCGGATACTCCTGCCCGCTGCCCTCCCTGGCAGCCAGGCCTACCTCCACCTGCGACTGCGCGGCAGGACTGGAATGGTCTGGCTCTGCCCGTCCCCTCGCAGGACTGTTATTTTCTGGCCCGCCAGCTCCCATGAAACATGTCAGCTGAAATAATGAACCTGCAGTGGAGAGTCAGCTAAGCCTTGGCTGAGGGTTAGGGAGACTGCCTGCAGATCCCCAGGCCAGGTAGCCCTTCTGACTCTGTTTCCTCAATTGGAAAAGGAAGACAGGGTGCTGGCCTCAGAATTGAGGAAGCAAGGGGGTGCACGTGAAGCACTGTTCATGTCTGGCCTTGCTCTCATCTGTCTCACTCATATTGGCCCAGGGTGCGCTCAGTGACATCATGGCTGAGAAAATGACTGGAAAGTATTAATACTGTCAGGAACTGTCTCTTCTGGTTTAACCTGCTCCCTCCAACCCAACACATCAGAAAAAGCCTCCACTAGGGTGGCGGTGTTGAGTTAGCTCTGCCCCTGAATGTCCTGCCTCAGCGGGGCAAAACATTGGTGCCAAGGTTGGCCTGTCCACCACGTCACCACTCAGCCCTGGGCACGGGGCTGCAGGGAGAAGGGTGGACACTGAGCTTGAGCTGGGTGGGACAAGCCAGGAGTCTCAAGCAGCAGCTGAAGAGGGGAGCCGGATGGCTCTAAGGAGGTGAAAGCAGGGAACCCTGTCTCCCAAACCAGGCCTGTTGGCCACAGACACTTGGTGCTTCCCCTTGGGAGGTAGGACTGAGGTGTGTGGCTTTAGAGTTAAGCTACAGGGAGCAAAACACAGCAAACACTAAAAGTGCTGCCCAGCAGGGAAAACAGGTGCTTTTTCTATTATGTGAAGAAAATCTTAAATTTCTCTGGAGCACAAGGGCCCCAACCACAGTTATCTGTTCCATCCATGTGCACATGTGGAAAAAGGCTCAGAAAGACAGGGGCAATGACAACCAAGGTCACTCAGCTGATCTGAGTCCCATGTCAAGCGCACTGGCCTAGGAGGCCGTCTCCCAACAAGGAACCTGCATTTCCTGGACCCTCCCTGCCCCCAGTGCCCGGCGATAACAGCACAAGAGTGACGAGTCCACGATTCTGGATGCCTGGGCTCTGCTGTGGGCCTTGGGCCTCGCTGCCTCCATCTGAATGAGGGATTAAGACAAGCTCTGGGTCTCGAAGGCAGTGATGCCCAAACCAGCCAGCCTAGACGGTGACAAATAGTGACACAGACAGGGACATCTCCTTCCATGTCTTTTATCAGGATTGGGGGGTCACAGTTCTTGTATCAAAGCCCAAATCCCATTATTTGCAGAGGTTTGAGGTCTTCTTAGTGAGGGGAGGGAGGAGCCAGTTGTAAGATGTTCACTTGTACAGGATGGTTAAAAACTGAGATAGTACCCCATTCTCCCCTATGCTGGGATGTGACCCCTCTTGCTGCCTCCAAGTCTCCTCCTCCAACTCTGCCTACCCTTTTACATGACAGCCTCGGGGAGACACGGGATGGCAGGGGAGCCCTCTGAGAGGCCCAAGTCCTGGAGCAGCTTCTTCCTGGGCTGAGATCTTGGGGGCTGGACTGTTCTCACCAGGCTCCCCTCTCTTCCCCCACTGGGGTGTGGCCTATGAGGCAAGTGGCCCCGCTGGGTCTGAAAAGCAATGTGTCACCTTCGCAGCTTCCGGCACCTGAGGAGAGGAAGCAGTCTGTTCGTGCTGGTTGGAGCTCGGCCCCGGTTCCTCTTGCTTTACTCCCTCCTTAGCTCTGTGAGCCCCGTTCTCTCCCGACGTTCCTAGGAAGCCCCCACTGGCCTGGCCCATAGGATGTCACCCCATGGCCTCACCACAGGATGCAGGCGTAGCAAGAAGCACCATAGACAAGGGTTCCACTATGTCCCCTCGCCTCTCGCAGCTCATAAGGTAGAGCAAATGTCTACCACAGGGACTTCTGAGAAGACCCAAACTTTGCAAATTGGAAAAGCAGATGTCACTTCCTCCAGAGATCTCTGACCTCTCAAAGATGAGGTCAGGTGCCCCTCACCACAGCCCTGGACATCCTCTGCTGGCACCAACTCCCCTCTTGTCCAACTTTGTGTTAGAATGTGAGCCTTGTTCATGCTGAGCCCAGTGCCAGCAGACGCTTGGTAAATATTTGTTCAACACATTCAACAGCTTCCTCTTCTCTGGCCCTCCTCCCACTGGCAGGCTCACCCTGGACCTGCTCCAGGACAGGGCCTTCATGCCTTCCCAAACAGATGCCATCCCCGAAGACTCCTCACCTACAGGTGTCTGGGTTGAGCTCTAAGCCCTGCCCCTGACAACGGAGGAAGCTGCGGCGTCGGCAGCGGCAACGGCAGGTCCGGGGGTCAGGGCGCTGGCGGCGCTGGGTGCAGCGTGGGCAGAGGGGCCTGGGGCTGGAGTGGGATGGGTGATGTCAGCTGGGGAGGGTGCTCCGGGGACAGGGTCCCAGCCAGGAACAGAACGGGGCTGGGGACGGTGGTGGGGAGTGGCAGCCCTAGGAGGAGAAGCGACATGTCTGGGGTGGGAAAGAAGAGTCTTCCCGGGAGCTGGGGTCAGGGCAGAGCACACAGACTTGGGGAGCAGAGGAAAAGGGGAAGGAGACAGGTAGGAGGAGCAGGAGGGGAGGGGACCACAACTTTCTGACTCACTCGTACACCCCCTGTTCCCTCCTCAGCTGGAGTCAAGAGACTTACCTGTCCGGCTTCACAGCACTGTCTTTTTTTTTTGGTCTGAAAAATAAGACACAGACAGAGACAAAGAGGAGGAGGAGGATCAGGAAATCCAAGCATCCTACTCTCTTGCCCCAGAGCTGAGGCCTACCCCTGGCTCTATTCTTAGAAACCTGGTCCCCACTGCAGTGAACCACCATACCCGACACCCCCCAAGCTTGGACTCTGCGAGCTCAGAAGTTGGGCCTGGCTGGCACCTGCATTCACATTGGCTGTGTTCTTCCAGGGACATCTCCCCCAGCTGACTGCTCGGGTACCGGATCATGAGGATCTGTGCTCAGGAGAATGAGGAGAGAGAGAGTGAGGGAGAGGGGGAGAGAGAAAGGGGACGCTCCAAGGCTGGAGGGAGAGAAGCTTGCCCAACAGCCAGGACCCTGGACACTGACCCCTCAGCCTCCTGTGCCTCAGTCTCTGGGCTGGCCCAGCCCCCAGAGTGCCAACATGCATCCCAGCCTGAGGCTCCACCTGCCCCAGTACCTGCATCCGGACCTGGTGCTGCCCAGTGGGCACACACTCCAGGCCATCGTCAGGGCAGCAACCACCGCAGCGCTGCACAGTCACACAGCTGGGCACCAGTTGTTTGGCCACAGTGCCCACAAGTTCCACAGTCAGGGGCACCACCACCTCCCGCGGCTGACAGGTAGCGCGAGCATACACGTCTATCCACGATACCACTAGGGGCAGACAGGAAAGGGTTAAGTCCACACTGGGTCTCCTGCAGCTGCTCCCAGCAGCTGTCCTCCCCAGTCCCCTCCACTAGCCCTCCTGCCCTTCTGCCCTCCCAACCTGGCTTCCCCTGCCCTGTTTATCCAGAACCCAGTAGCCCCACCGCCTCAATTTCCCCCTCTGTAAAATGCGCAGAATAATAGTTTCCTCTTACAGGAGAGTTGTATTTACACAAGATGATGGAACAAGGAGCCTGGAATCAGGGCATGGGGCAAACCCTCTTAGTACTGGCTATGCCAAGTTACTGTAAGCATTACCTTTCTTCTGGTGGCCAGGGGCATCAGGCTGGGAGAGAGGGGCCTGTAGGAGAGAAGAGACCTGGACCCAAGGTGCACTGCAGGAGGGGCTAGCCCCGTCACTGTACCCAGGGCTCTGCCCTCGCATTGGGAGGCTTCACCACCTCTCTGACATCTTTCCAGATTGCTCTGTTCCTGGGCCACTGCTCTAGTTTTACCTGTCCTCTCCTGGGCACCTGGGACCTGCCCTGGCCCAAGACCCGACAGGCGCGCTCTGCTGGCGGTGTCAAATCTCCAAGCCTCGGGGCCCGGCTTGTTCTGGGGGCTGCAGGTCAGCAGCGGGCACACTGGGCGCAGAACCAGGTCCTGCGGGCACTGAGGCAGCTCCGCCCCTGGCGGCGCCCAGAGGGCGGGGTGGGGCGGAGGAGTGGCCCCGGGGCTGGGCTGGCGGGCCGGCGGGGAGGGGCACCTCCCAGGGGATGCCTGGGCCGGGCCACCGAGGTGCTCGCGTTGGAGGCCTGACTCCGCGGATCCCCTCTGCCGACGCCACCCAGCGCCTCCCCACTTCCGCCAACCTTGAGAGAGGGCACCGCGGGAGGGCGGGATGGCGGGACGCACGTACCTGGGCGGGGGCCAGCAGCAGGAGAGCGGCGAGCAGCAGGCGGCGGAGCAGGGGCCTCATGGTGCCCGCGGGGGCAGCGCGCCGGGG